TAGCTTAAACTTTTAATTAGTTTGTAATTTAAATACCGGACCAGAGTGATTATGACAAGGCAAAAAGTAGTTCAGATTTACACTTTAATAAAATAAGTTTGGAAAAGTTACCATATGAAGTTATTTTTCAATATTCCCAAAGGTCTTAACAACTTTGGCATATTAGTCATTATAAAATTTTTTTAAATTTGCCTCAGTGCATAAGAAATTTGAATGGATATTGCTGATTTCACTTTATGTTTAGAGCAATTAATCTATAAAAGAGTCAGTTTATTTCTTTTTAGCATTATCTATTAAAGCTTATAAATACTATTATACCTTCTTCAATTAATTATATTTTATGTCCTTATTATGCAAATAAGACAGCACATTTTGTGCAGAGTTATTCATTTGATCCTTCAGAGTTTAGTAATATATATTTAGCCTTAATTTAATTTATGGTTACTTACTCTTTTTTAAGGATGTTGTAAACAAAATTATTAGTTGCAATTATAATGAGATTCTGAACTTTATTTGAACTTATCGCTAAAAAGATTAGTACTTTAATTAACAGGAGTGTCTAATCCATTCCAAATTTGCAAAGATGAGAGATGTATTTAATCTTCTTTTTTCATTTGAATTTTAATTAATGTTTGTTATGATAAATTATTATTCATAAATTTATAGATAAATTTTAAATTCAAATGATATATTAAAATCAAATGATATATTAAAAAGATTTTAATTCGTTCTTAGCTAAATGAAAGAATTGTCTCGTGCTTTCAAACTTATAAATTATTTTGTTTAGATAATAATTTTTTTCTGATATATAATAATTTCAAAATAATTTAAATTATTTATAAATTAATCTTCAAATACACTAAAAATATCTAAGCACATATTAATTCATAAAATTTATATAATAATTAAAAATAAATGATTTGGATATGCTTATTTAATAGTCAAAGCAAAAATAGGATGAAAAAGTGTAAATAATTATAATTAATAATTTATCCTTCTTGTATTTATTAAATAATTATATTTAACAATAAATGATAGTAATTTATCGAATTATATTGTATCCTCATCAATCAATAATATTTTTGGCATCATGTAGAAAAGCTTAAGGAATTGCTTGCTGTTATTATATTAAATATTATTCCTCTATTTATTTAAATTAGTTATTCTTCCTCATCCGTCTAATAACACATAAGATAATGAAATTTTATTATTAGATGATATCTAATAATATTTTATATTTAATGTTATTCAAATATAACATAATTTAACTTAAAACTCCAAAAGGGATAGAAATCTAATAATTGATTATTGGTTAAGTTATTTTTAATAAGTATAAGATAAACTACTAATCTAGATCATCACAATTTTTGAACTATCATACATAAATATATAATAAAACATTTTGAATACTATCTATCGTCTTTTTCTCAGAATTTAATTCTCTCCTTAATCTATCATTAAGAAAAGATATATTGACTCATTTAACAGAAGTAATTGATCTTGGAAAATATTTTTGATTTCAAAAATATGATTTTATATAGTGAAGAGAAGATACTGGTAATTTATGCACTTTTTAAAAATTTTTTTTAATTATTATTTATTATACACATATATGTAAAGTTTAATTGCTGATATTGAATTTTACTTCATCAAATATTAGACATATTTAAAATATTTTTATTTTTTTTCATTTTCAATTTTAAATTTTTTAGATATTATAAAATGAAATAATTAAAATAAAAGTAATAAAAATATGAAATATGTCATGATATATAGAATCTTGAATCTTAAGGAAGATTTTATCTATATTTCATTTTTACTGTTTCTTAAGAATGTTTATTCAAGGCTAATAAGGAATAGAGTGCATTATTCATACACTTCTTTGAGATTAATTCTTTTTTCGTTTTCTCTTATTATGAATAACGAATCTAGTTTCTCAGTCTTTGTCCTAAATCTTAATTTGTCTAAGTCAATTTAAATGCATCTTAAACATCAGACAAATTTGTGCTTTTTAACAGATCAGATATAAACCTTTTTCTTTAATCATTCATAATGTAAATTTTATAGGGATATTTAATCCCATTTTAGATTACTTGTTCTTTGTCAATTAATAATTACTAATAAGGTGTTTTAGAATTTTCAATTCCAGGATCTGTAATTAATCTTTAACTAGTTTTAATTGAATTTTCGAAATCATTAATTTAAGTTTTTAATCGACTTCTTACCTTTTATTTTATGATATTTAAGTTAATTTGTTTTCTTAATGATGATACCTTCTCAGTTAAATCTTCTGCTAGCGATAGATTTTTTTATTTTGGAAAATTAGTTGAAGGAAGGACTACATCACCAAAAATATTTAACTTTTTATTAGTTATTTTTATTTCATTTTCATCATAATTTATTGATTTTTCAAGCGTTGACTGTTTGTGTAACAAAATAGGAATTATTTGAGGAGGATTTCTTTATGATTATGATTTATTTAAAGATTAACATCGAATATGAGGTTGTAATTATTTTTAATTTGGATTCTTATGTATATACATATTATTTATTATTATATATATAAATTAACTTATTTCATTTAAAACAGCAGCAAGATTTTTAAGAATTTTTAATTTGTTATTGAGTAATCATAAAATTATTGAGATGATTATAACATTTTTAAGACCATTATTTAACATCTAATTAATAAATTTTATTAGATAACTCTGGATTAAATTCAAGTGCTTCTAAAACTGTTTCTAAAAATCGAAGAGATGAAGAATATTATATTTCTTAATGAAGTCCTTCCAATGTCTATAAACTGATAATATGAAACTTACTTTAATGTCTTTAAATAATATTTCAGCCATTGTATTTGGAGATATATTATACAATTATATAAAATCTGGAATATCAAAATTAATGAGAAGTAAAGTATTTTATATAACAATTAAGCATGAGATCATATCATCAAACATATTGAGAAAACTTTCTAAAAGAACTTATTTTTATGACTTTGATTTTAATCCTTAATTTAAATATTCAAAAAACCTGCCATATTTTCCATAAATCTCATTTCATTAAATTTACTATAGTATTCTAAGTATGATAATTTATTTTTTTCAATTATTTAATAGTAAGTTTAACTGGCCTCGCTTGGAACTACAGAAAGAGGAGCTTTCGAAATGGTTGATTAATGCATACGGAGTACATTTCCATTTTCATATTCAAATTATAGTCCTGATTAAAAGTTTTATGTATTTGAAGGAAATATTTTCTTCATTTTCATTTACAAATAATAATAATTATAAAAAAGTTCAATAAAATTAACTTTAATAAAAATTTATTAACTACTTCAATCAAAAATTTATTCTTTAATGTTTAATTCTTATGAATTTTTCATTTCTCTTAAGATATTATCATTAAAAGTTCTTAAAGAATTAATTTCAGAGTTTTTAATATTGACCATCTTATATCTAGTATTTTTGATTTTTATATTGTTGAAAGCATTTTAATGAACTAATTTAACAATTCACATACTTTTGTGTGCACAGCAACATGATTAATTAAACAAAAAAATTTTCTTAAGACATATTCCAATTTTTTTTTATTATAAAATATCATCATTCTAATTAAAAGTGGAATATTCTTAAAACTTCTATATAATGTTTATAAAGAATTATATTTTGTTTGGAAAATCAGTAATAAATTAACTTTTGAACTACAATGGAAAGAAAATCCTTATTTTTTAAATAGAAAAAGCATTCTAGTCCAAATGAACTTATAATGTATCTAAATTAATGCTCTGTTAATCCTAAATTTATTCAAAAAAAAGAAAAAGATGATCTAATGGAACAAAATAGATTGTTCTTTAACAAAATTGGAAAAAAAAAGTGTATATCAATTGTTCGAAATAAAAGTGGAGTGATTAATCGTTCACAATTATAAAAAGAATTCTTAAGATTTTTGATTACTAATGATGGACCATAAAGTGTGTTTTATTAGTTAGAAAAAAAAAAATTTGAAATAAAATTATAGGATATGGAAGAATTTGGATAGCCTGATAAACCTCATATTTGTTTATCCAAAATGCTTGGATAGTATTAAGAATTAGTTAATCCCTTTTGATTATTAATCAATTTATTATAACTAGTGTTTGATCATATTAATAAATATTTCATGAATTTTAAGAAAAAGAAAAATAATTAACTTTGTTACTTTCTGTTTAATTCTTAAATTCTTTTTAATATTTTTATTAAAATAAGGTTCTTTTTATTATGATGATAGGGAATTCTCCTTATATTTACAGGTAAATCTATCTAAAATCTGAAATATATAATTATGATATTAAAAATTATTTAAATCCAGATTTCATCTTAAGAATTTCTTCAATATTTTATTATAAATTTATATTTAATCTCCAACAATGACTCAAGATAAAAAAATTTCTTAATCTTTTATATCTCCCTTAAATTTCTATTATGTCAAATCTCTTCTATATACACAAGGGAATATCAAAATTTTATATAATTTTACATTGAATTATTTTTTCAATTAATCTAAACATATTCAGTGTAACCAAAAAGTTAGCTTCGTGTAAAATCAAGTTTTCAAACTTAATAAAACAAATTTAATATTTTGTAACCAAATTTTGTCTTCACTACTTTTAAATACCGAGTCATTAAAATTTTTTATAGGAATATAATTTATTTTTTATTTCTTTGCAATCAAGTACTTAAACTATTAATTAATACCCAAAATTATTGAAGAATATGTATAAGCAATATATAATATAAATCTTTATCAACAAAGTTTTGATTTATGTTGATTTCAACAATAATCTTAATAAAAAAGTAGCTGTTTATTTATTATAAAAAATGAATAAAAATTTAGAAGCCATTTATTATCTGATTACTTATACAATCTTACTAATAGACCCAAGCATTCATTCAAGTTATATACATAAATAGCCAAACTTTATAATCTCTTATTCAGTTTCTCCATTTAGCCCATCGCAATTATTTTTAATTTTGATCAAGACCTATTCTCATTGCAGATACAAAAGTAAAGTTGAATTTCTCAGGTATACCCTATATTCCATTTTTATCAATCTATTTAATATTTCAAAAACATTATTTTTGAGCTTATATTATTTCATATTCTGTACTATTATTTGAAATAATCTAAATAGAGAATTTTCTTTGTTTAGATATTATTTTTACAAAACACACTATTTTTTTCGATTATTAGTATATATAATACTTATTTGATTCAATCTAAGTTTTAACTCAAGATATTGAATTTCTATTTTTTATAATTAAAAAAATTTTCTAGTAATATATGAAAGTATAATGTATGAAGTCATCTAGTTGAATTTCAAACTAAGCTTATAAAAATTGTAAAAGAAAATCATCCTCATATTATATAAATATGATAAATAAGTTACTTTTTAAAATTATATTAGTTTTAATATATGAGTATTCTATTTTTAATTTTTGAATATATTAAATTATTTAAGATATTCTTATTTTATTAATACTCAAGTTTTTATTGATTAGATTAAGATTAGATATGTTAAAATATAAAAGAATGCAATGAAAATAAGTAAATTTGATGATAGTCCAATCAGCTGGCATTTCATAAAAATTAAATTTAGAAAATCTTTTATAATAGTATAATTTAATTTATCAATTAATTTATTCTTACTTAAAATATCTTCTAAATATTAGATAATGATAATTAAATCAGTGGATTAAAAATATAATTAAATATCTTAATTAACATTTTTAAGTATAAATTCTTTAGTCAAATTTTATTCATTCATCCATCAGATTTAATCACAAAGTTTAATATTGAATATCATAGTTCCGGTAGTTAAATTATTACACTTTATAGATTAGAATTTACAATATTCGTAATAAATTAATGATTCTTACAATTATTTTTATAAGGATGAGTAAGAATAGATGATTAGTAAATGAAGTAGAAAGGATTGTAAAAATATTTTAGAAGTGGAATTAGGTTGAAATATTAAAGTTAGTATAAAATTTTGAATTTATCTGAAAGTTGTTGATGATTATTAAATTTATATAATGTTTATTCCAGATTAACGAAATTTGGGAGGAAGATAAATTATTTGTAATATGGTTTGGAATCATCGGCTTTCTCTTAACATAATGGAAGATAAATCAGCAGCATCTCCAATATAAACAAAAATGCATACTCCTCGTTAAGGATGCTATACAGATAGGCAAGGGCAAAATAAACCATCTTTCTTTTTTAGAAGAATACCAACTAGCAATTATTAAAAATATAAAGAATTACTTTATAAAAAGCCCTTATCATTTCCAAAGAATTAGCATTAAAAAAAATATAACACAGATATTAAAATAATAGATTGGAATTTTATTGAAAAAGAAATTAATAAATATGGCAAAGAATTTTATAAGGTTAATCTACCTTAGTTCATTCAATCATTTGCAAAAAAAATGAATATTAAAAAAGAATATGATTTTGCTACTCTTATTGAAATGATATTAAATTCCTATCCAAACATTAAATAAGACGATTTGATTGAAATAGCATCTGATATTATTGTTGAAGAACTTTGATAGTTAAATTTTGATTTATAGAAGTTGCATTTTATATTTATATATGCTTAAAATATTTGTTATAAATGTGCTATTAAAATAAGGATGTTTTTGAAGAGAATAGATTAAAATTGATTAATATATAAAATGATCTTATTAATAATAATTGGTTGATATTTTAAATCTCTATTTTAATATGAAAAATAATAAATATTATTTTAATTTTAACTTTTAAGATCTTTTAGTATTTATATTAAATAAATCAAACTTTAATAATTTATTACTGCCTTACTTAACGCTTATAAATTATAAATTTTTAAATTATTAAAGAAATTTAGAATAGTAATAAAATATAATTAACTATCTCATTTATTTTGAGGATTATTTACAATAATAATTAATAATATTTCTAATATAATTTTCTAAATAAATAGTGTTTATAATATATAAAACTCTTCAAATCAAAATTTAATTATCAGATTATTTTTCCATATAATATTCAGCAATGGTAGATTCTATAGTTTCTCCATTATCATCATCTTAATCAATTTAATTCTTCACATTACTTAGTTCTTAAAATTATTCTTAAAAATTAGAAGTAATTAGAATAGCAATATAAGAAGTCATCAAAAGCATGTTGATTGGATTAAATAGATGATGGTCATAATTTTCCATATATAAGTAAAAAGAACTTTTCTAAATAGAATATATTATAAAAAAAAGAATATCAATTAAAAATATATCCAACCCTAAGTTATATAATAAGAATACTGATTAAATGTGATTATAAACTAATCATAATCTCGTAAACAAATATACTAGCATACAAAAGATAGCATATCCAACATATTTTCAAAAGGCTGTTTATATTTTCAACTTAATTCTCTAGATCTTTTATTACAAAGCTTTGATTTTCAAATGAAATCCACCATCTATCAATACTAATGGGTACAATTACAAAAATTGAAACAAAAGTATTTCTGACTTTATTTGTTTTATTATTTTATCCTTATAAGTAAGACAAAATTTATAAGAAATATCTAAGAAATAAAAACTCACCAAATGCATAACATGTTTAACCTATTAGCCATTCAATAGCTTCAAATTCTGGAAAATAGCATAGTGGTCTTAAAGGTTGTGAAATCAAAAATATTATTAATAACATATGAGGTTTATTTGATTTTATATAATTTCCTAAAGGAATGAGTGTAGCATTTTCTTATTTATATAATTAATTTGCAAGAATCATAATCATTAAGCAAAGAAATGCTACAAATCCATCTTCTAAATACTTTAGATTATTTTTAAAATATGCTGTTATCTCAAGATTTAAACCTTTTGTGAAAATCACATAAGTAGAAACTGCAGATATATAATTTGTCATAAGATAGTATTCATTCATGTTTATATTCCCCTATTTTAATGTAAAATCAAGAGGATTTAAATTAAAAGAACTCTATGCTTCTTTTTATTTGTTTTCTTAATCAAGAAATGGGAATGTCTAATATTGATTATCTTCAAATGCATTTGTATAATTTAATTATCTCGAAGTTTTAAATTGCTAATAATAAATCTTCAGGTTTTATTAGATATCTGTAGGCATTGAATATAAAAAATAAAATGTAGCCAATGTTTCATTAGAATTCCAAATAAAAACACAATATTCTATATTTTAATTATCTTACTATTAGTTATATTGGCAATTCCTTTCAAGTGTTTCAGCTTCGATAAATACAATATTCAATTATTTATCAATAATATAGAACAATGTTATAAGGGCTGCAAAAATGATTAAATTTTTCATAATTATATTAAAATTTGTATTATTATCAATATGAACATGAATTATAAATAAATCAATATCTAAATTTAATGAATTTGATAATCATTTTCTTAGTGAGTTCTCTACTCTGTTACAGGTTTAATCAATTAAATTAATTCAACTTTCTTAAGTGGCTTCTCTCTCATTTTTCTCATTTTATAATTCATGATTCAAATAACTATTCATTTCATCCAACATTCTAAACATTTGATCATTTGACCTTGAGCTTATTTTCTTTATTTCTTTTCATTAGTTAAAATTTCTTATAATTTATGAATAGAATTTCCAAGTCTTTAGATAGTATTTTAATTTTACTCTTCCCTAAATATAATTTAAATTAATACCTATCTTTATCTTCTTTCTTTCATTTTATAATTCTTTTGCTAAAAATGCTTCTAATAACTTTAAATATTTAGATCTTTATTTTTCATCACCAACCTATGATTATATTAAAATAATATATTTCTCTAATAATTTTTTCATTTTATCTCTCTTCAATTTTTTATAGTTATTCTCTTAATAATTTAAATTTAGAATCATCAGCTTAAATTTATTTAATAGCTTTATATTCTAAAATCTTATCTCTTTTTTAAACGAAATTAAATTTATTTTTCTACTGCCTAATGAAGATTGGATAATTTTTCTGATAATTATGAGATTTTAGCTCTGCTTGGAGATATAGTTCTATCAGAACCACCAATATTAAGATTTGATCTAGATGGAAGAATTTAGAATCTTTGATGAGGACATTATTTTAATATTAAAAATTATTTATCATATATCATTAAATAGTGTTTTGAATTAAAATTTCTTTATATCAGCTTAAGAACAAGTTCTTGTAGTACAAGCTTTCTATGAAGATGATTTACTGTTTGGTATTAAAAATAATGGCAATGGTTTTGGTGATACCTGAAGTATAGGAAGAGATTTCTTTTTGTTTGGTCTACCACCATTAAGTAAATAATTATTGTAAATGCGAGTAGTTATTTTTATAGTGGGCTTTTTATTTTGAATTCTATTTATAACTGCAATATTGCCCTCACTCCCTTATTTACTGACTGCTAATTGTGTACGTAATCTTTAGTTTGTAAATAGTAATTAAGCATTATTATTCTCTTGAAATCTCTCCATTGATGTTCCTCGTGATCTCATCATTATTTCACTGAATATATTTTTAAAAGTATTTGTTTGAGTGTTAGAAGATTACATTATTATATTTAAATATATTGTGAAATACACATTCAAAGAGAAAATGCAAATCGTAGATATTATAAAAATTGATTTAAAACTTTTCAATTCTTTCTCAATATTGTATTAATTAATTCTAAATGGAGAATTTCATTAAATTGATAAAGTAATTCATCATTATTTATCTATTTAATAGTATTAAAAAAATATATAATTTTTCAATCTAGTCCTAATATTTCCAATTCAATTGGTTAAAAGTTTTTTATATTTGGTAATTCTCTTCCATTTAAACGAATTTAACCTGATAATACATCCTTAAAATAAGAATGATTTAAATATTGTTTAGCTTTTCCTCTATAATTTGGTGTGTATTTTATAAATTGTTTAATAAAATCTATTGTCTCATTAAATTCCCATTCCTTCTTTTTTATTTATGGCATTTTGATATCCTCAAATATACTCTTCATTGATAATAATTCATGTTTTTTTGGAACACCTAAAATCTTTATAATTTCAGCCATAACTTCTTCCTATGTATTCCCTTCAAATGCTATATTCAAAGTGTACATCTCATAAATTATACATCCATATGCCCATAAATCTATTGAATTGTTATACTTTAAGGCTCCAAGTAATAATTCTGGTGCTCTGTATCTAACATTATTAACATTATTTATAGATTCCTCTCCTTCAAATAAAAATTTAGCTTATGAAAAATCAGCTAATTTTAATTCAAAAGTTATATCATTTATTAGTATATTCTCAGGTTATATATTTCTATGACATATTTAACATTCATGTAATTATATAATTGCTCTTAATAGTTAAAAAGCAAACGATTTTATTAATATCAAAGGTATTTCTCTATTTTTAGATTTATATCCTTAAATTACTTAGGCTAAATTCAAAGGCATAAAATCAAAAACCATATTTGTTTAATTATTATTCATAAAATGATGTCTTAATTCTAAAATGCAAGGATGATGATACTTTTGAAGAGCTTTTAAAATCAGTAATTCTCTTTCTTTTTCTTACTTATTGTATTGTCTTTATTTTAGACAAACATTTTATTAAACATTTGGAAGTTCTACCTATCTTAATTTTTTAAATACTTTATAAACATTAGATGTTTTATCAATTGATTTATTTTGTTTGTTTTATCGGCTTTATTTCATTGATGAAGGAATAGATTCTTTATAATTAGTTTCAATAAATTTTTTCATATAATCTGTAATTTTTGTATGATGTGAGAGTGATCTTGATGGTTTGTTTTAAAGCATATTTAAAAATCTAAAAATTAATTTTAATAATATAAATTCACACTTCAATAAATAATTTTACTAGTTTACTATTATTTATTTTTTTTCTCTCTATAATTTTAAATTAAAAGAGATTTATAAATGACTATGTTTTCATTAACACAATTTAGATATAATTTATAAACTTTAGGTATATAATATTTGTTTCTCCTCCTTATTATTACAAACAATTTCCTAATTCTAAACGTTTTATTTAAAGATAGATGATATTATTAATTTGGAGAATTTCATAATGTATGGAAATTAAGGATTATTAGTTCAAAGATGTTGAAGCAGATTAATTATAGATCTCTTATGAGAAAAATTAAATTATTATAAGAGCAGACAAACCTTACATTTATCTTCCTATTATAACATTTGATTTATATTAAAATTAATTGTAATTTATATTTTTGTTTTATCATATGCAGATACGATAACGATAACCCTATTTTTGATAGAGTTTTTTTATAGATATTTTTTTTGAATAAAACCTTATAAATCTATATATTACTAAGAAATTTTTCCTAAGTTTAATATGCAATATTTTTATAATTTAATGGTTTTCAAATTCTGGAAAATAAATTAGATAGTTTTATTAAAAAAAACTTTACTTATAAAAATAAATGCAATTCAAATTAGAGTACACCCACTGGATTTTTCTACGACTCTTTCATTATAATGGTGAATTTCTATTGGTTTTAAGTTTTTATTTTTTTCTTCTATTTCTTTGATATGCTTTTCATGTGATTTTAATAATTTATCAATTGAGTATTCATTTTCTTTTTTTATATTTTTGATTTCTTCTTACATTTTTTAATTCATTTAATTGGTTAAATCTAATTGTTATTGTTTTTATTATTTCATTTCTGCTTCAAGATTCTTAATTATTTTTTCATTTTCTTATCTAATTTCAAGAACTGAAATTTTATTTTATTCTTACAGTTTTTGGATTTTTGCTTTTTGCTCCTTATTTTTTTTTTCATTTTATAAATTCATTTCCTTTAATTATTTTTAATAATTTTGATTTGTCTAATTGATTAACTCTGACTATTATTTATAAATTTGATCGATTTTTTGTTAGTTTTTTTAATTCACTTCATTCATTTATTCTTATTGTTTTAGATAAATTTGATTAATTGCTTATTGATTTTATTAATTTAATTCTTTTATTTATTATTAATGTTCTAACTGTAATTTCCTTTAACCCTTCTCAAATTACTCCTACTATAACTGTAGTTATTATATTTATTGTTATTTTAATTCATCTAAAGACTTTTTATTTTGTTAAGCTTCCTATAGCTTATTATTAAGATTGTTTATTAATTAGATATCCTAATTCTTTTAAACTTTCATTAAATTAATTTATTACTCATAATTCCCTATTTCTCTAACTTATTGTTATATATCTTTTTCATATTTACTAATTTCGGCATTGAACTTTTATGTTTATTTTAATATTTCAACTCTTTAACCTATTAAACTAATCATATTCTTTAATTAATCTTAAGCAATTAACTTTATTATTTTTAAATCATCATATCCCTATATAAGATTAGAAAATTAGGAATAATATTAAAATATCTACATGAAATTATTGCTTTGTATTACTATATCATCCTTGATTTAAAGTCTTGTTGCCAATTATTCGCAAGTTTAAATATACTATGCATACCATTCAAAAGAATTTTCCTAATCTATTTTTTTTACTAAATTTATTAATTTTTCCAATAACGGTATTGTTGCCTCACTCTATTAATTAGATAATCTTTTATATTACTGATCAAAAAATTCAGACAATACTAATCCATATTTTTCAATTGTTTTTAATATTCTTCTTCTTAAATAATTACTTATCATTTCACTGTTCGGTAGTTTTGATGGTTGAATTATAGAAGATGACATCTCTTCAATCTGTTACCAAACAATTTATCGTTATTAATTACTGAAAATTTGATTTAATTAATTGTCATTACAAGCTTTTCTTAATACAAGTATTTTATCAATTGATTATAATTTATCAACAGATTTTAAATCTTTTGTTATTTTAGCTTACAATTAGATATCAGATAAGTCATCCATATAACAATTTAAAAATAAATTAAACTTTTGAACTTTTATATTTCCTTTTAAGCTTAGTTGATCAATAAAGTCTTAAAGATCAGATCCTCTATTCGGAATATCACTTTCAACATTTTTTATTACATAAACAATTTTAATTGGACCTGAGGTAACAATCTTATGAAATAAAAGAGCAAATAATAATTGATCCTATACCCCATTTGTGTCTTAGAATCCAGGAAAATCAATAATTAAATGATTATTATTTTTATTATGATAAAAATTTGGTTCTTAGTGATTGAATTCATTCCACCACCCATCTTAGAATAACTATTTGAGGGATTATTTATTATTAATTTTTTATCCTGATCAAATTTAAAATCTGCTCCACTTAGGAAGTTGAAAATAGTGCTTTTTCCAGATCCTGTTACTCCTACTAATAAAACAACAAACATATTTTATTTTTTATTGTTATTAAATTGATCAATTAATTTTTAAAATTTTATTATAATTTACTATAGTTTTGATTCATAATCTTAATCTTCATATTCTTTTTATTGATCCTAATTATTAAATTGTTAATTTTAGTTTAACAGCATTTAATTCGAGAATTGGTTTTAATTATTAAATTGTTAATCTTAGTTTAACTGTATTTAATTAGAGAATTGGTTTTGGTTAATAAATTGTTAATTTTAGTTTAACTATATTTAATTCTAGAATTGGTTTTGATTATTAAATTGTTAATTTTAGTTTAAGTGTATTTAATTTTGGAATTAGTTTTGGTTTTTAATTTGTGAATTTTAGTTTAACTACATTTAATTAGGCAATTGGTTTTGATTACTAAATTGTTAATTTTAATTCTAGAATTAATTTTGATTATTGAATTGTGAATTTTAGTTTAATGATGTAGAATTCTGAAATTGATCCTGAACCTCAATTATTGAAATTTATTTAGACTTTATTTAATTCTAGAATTGGTTTTGGTTATCAAATTGTGAATTTTAATTTAACAATGGAGAATTCTGAAATTGATCTTGAACCTCAATTATTGAAATTTATTTAGACTTTATTTAATTCTAGAATTGGTTTTGGTTATCAAATTGTGAATTTTAATTTAACAATGGAGAATTCTGAAATTGATCTTGAACCTCAATTATTGAAATTTATTTAGACTTTATTTAATTCTAGAATTGGTTTTGGTTATCAAATTGTGAATTTTAATTTAACAATGGAGAATTCTGAAATTGATCTTGAACCTCAATTATTGAAATTTATTTAGACTTTATTTAATTCTAGAATTGGTTTTGGTTATCAAATTGTGAATTTTAATTTAACAATGGAGAATTCTGAAATTGATCTTGAACCTCAATTATTGAAATTTATTTAGACTTTATTTAATTCTAGAATTGGTTTTGGTTATCAAATTGTGAATTTTAATTTAACAATGGAGAATTCTGAAATTGATCTTGAACCTCAATTATTGAAATTTATTTAGACTTTATTTAATTCTAGAATTGGTTTTGGTTATCAAATTGTGAATTTTAATTTAACAATGGAGAATTCTGAAATTGATCTTGAACCTCAATTATTGAAATTTATTTAGACTTTATTTAATTCTAGAATTGGTTTTGGTTATCAAATTGTGAATTTTAATTTAACAATGGAGAATTCTGAAATTGATCTTGAACCTCAATTATTGAAATTTATTTAGACTTTATTTAATTCTAGAATTGGTTTTGGTTATCAAATTGTGAATTTTAATTTAACAATGGAGAATTCTGAAATTGATCTTGAACCTCAATTATTGAAATTTATTTAGACTTTATTTAATTCTGTAATTGGTTTTGATTATTAAATTGTGAATTTTAATTTAACTGTGTTGAAATTGATTATTGATTTTTCTTCTCTAATGGTTGAACTAATTTTTACTTTTGTTGCTGTTCTTCTTGTTCTAATTTAGCTATCTCTTCAATCTGTAACTATAATATAATATCCTCATCCATTTAATCTTCGCTATTCATTTATATCAATAATAGTGATATTTGATTGAATTTCTATTAAAATTTATTGAAAACAATTAGATTAAAAAAATATTTAATTATATAATTATTTAAATATTTATTCATATAATAGTTAAAATGATAAATACGTAGAAAAATATCTGTATGACATTTTATTTAAAAGAATGATGTAGGATAACTTTGATCAAATGAATAAGGATAGGGAGTTGTAAATTTGAGGATTATCAAAGTAATGAAAAGAATTTAATTCTAATTTTATAATACATGGACATATGAATTTTTATGTTAAATTATGATTACATAAAATTAGAACTTGAATAAAATGAAAATTTTAAAAGAAAAGTTTAATTAAATGTTTTAAATAATTTTACATTTATTCTGATATCATGAATAAATACTCACTTTCATTATCCCCATGAAGCAAGTTACCTCTTCACATTTTCATAGTTTTTTAAAGTTTAATCTATCTTGGGTTCAGCTCTCAAGTAGTCTTCTTTAGCTCTAGAGTATTAATATAGATAATAATTACTTTTTATCATTTGCTTAAATAGCTGTCAGTTAATCTTTACTAAGTGAAATTAATTTTTTCTATCTAGAAAGCTTTAATCAAAATTTTACTCAGCAGGAGATAGATTTTAAATTTTACTAACATGTTCTTTAATTGTTTAAAGAATCATTTCGATTAAAGGATCATTTTCATAAGTCATTTTTCCTTATGCTAATCCTTTTAGAGCAGATTTAAATAATGCCTTTTAGATTTCTGGAAGGTTATTTTTCAAATTGGTTTCTAAAGACTTTTAAGCTGCTTCTATAATTTCTTATAAAAGTCTATTTTAATTAATCTATTTTGATAATATTAAATTAAATTACTTATTCAGCTTATTACACAGACTTAAGAATGTTTTAAGATCTTTCAACAACATGTCTTTATAGATTTAATTATTCATTCAAAAGGAACTAAATAATATTGATTATAATTTACAGTATTGATTAATTCTGCTTTAACATCTCTAAATTCTTTATGTAATTATCCATATTCAATTTATCCTTTAGCTGCTTCAAGAAGTGTACGAATTTTAAGTTGCATATTCTCATGATAATATTAATCTAATTAGAAACATTCATTTCCAGCTACTCTTCTATAAAATCTAGCAAGTAATGGTTTCATGAATGATTTACGACCTTCTAAATAAAAGTACATGATTTGCATCCAAAATAAGAATGGTAAAAAGGATGATTTAGCAATCCAATGAAGATTTGTAGTGCCTGCTGCAAATCCAATAACAATTAATCCTCCATATGTAAGAAGAAGATATTTTCTTGCAACTAGGAAATTTTCATAATGTGGAGACACTTATTCGGGTCCAATAAAGTTGTAAAATAATTCAGATGATTTAATCTATAAAATTATATTATACACATACACCACTAAAAGTGACTGGATTATGTGGATTGTTATAAGGATGTTCGAAAGCCTTACCTTAAGGTGCAACATTTGGTGCCTTATTATCTTTCTCTATTGCTTCACTATATGATTAAAAATATTTTATTCTTACAGCTTTTGATTGAATTAAGTTACGTATTCAGCATATTTACTTTGGAATTTTAAGAAATTCTTTCCAGCAATATCTTTATGAGTAGCAGTAGCTGTTGCAAATCCAAAGAATCCCAATCGTCCTGAAGATTTTACCAAAAATTGCATCTTTTTTTAAAATATTTAATTTGTTTATTCTCATTTAGAATTATTGAGAAAAAATATGAGAAGATCATGGGGTTTAAATTGCTTTCAATATAGAAGGCTTTAAAATAGATTGGATTTCTCATATTAGAATTAATATCAAATGGTATTATAATACATTTATGAGTATTAAAATAAATGGATAACTACTTTTTTAACTATTTGATTAATTAGCACAAATTCTGTTTTCAATTTTTATAAAATAAATACAAAAAGTATTTTTCATTTTTTTCATCATATTACTTAATATTAAATTGAGAAACTGAAAGTATGAAAAATAATTATATTGTTATAAATTTTGAAGAATTATAACGATCATCTTAATAATCTCAGTAATAAAATTATTTATTTATTTTTTATCATAATTTATGGGAAATAGTATGGTGGTGGATTGGCACGAATAATTGCAACATCAATTTATAAAAGATTAATGCATAGAACATGATCTCTTAGGTCCTATTGAGATATACACCTATATTCCAGATGATTAAGTAAAAATATTTAGTAAATATTATCTTATACTTATAAGGTAAAACACTTTAACTTTCAGATTAGTAATATTTTATAGAAAAAACAAAGCTAAATCATCCTAATTTACTTAGAGCTTTGTTTATTGAAAAATGCTCAAATTTTTGCAGTCGTGATTAAGATAGATTTAGGGTTTATTATGATTATCCTGGAAATTAAACTCTAGAAACAATAATGAAAAATAAGTATTTAATTAAAGTATTCAAAAGATAGAAAGCTTTTTTAGAATCAGTTATTTGGAGCATCATTTTTTAAGTAGTAGATTGTGCTGAATATCTTCAATAATAATTTAAATCAATTGACAATATAAGTCTTAATACATTGTATCCATAAGAGAAGTATCTGAAGATATTTGTAATTCACATTTATAATGTAGGAAGTAAATCATCTTTTTAATATTATTTCTTCATATGATTAAGCTCTATTAAACAGTATTTCTATTTTGTCACCAGAATAAATAGATGAATTAGAAAGAAATGTTCGTTTTCCTTAAATTAATCATTTTAAAAGTGATGTTTATGCTTTCGGAATAGTGTTACTATGTTTAACGACAAAAACTGATTACAAATCATTTTACAATTAATTAAATTAATTGAATAAGAATAATATATTTTAAAGCCTATAATCAACTAGATCCAATTATTCAGAACTCCTTTCTGGTTTAATCCAAAAGATGTTAGTTGATGATCCAGAGCAAAGACAATCTTGGATTGATTTGAAAGTATTTATTTATTTTATATCTAAGTTATTCTTAGAACCTTACAAAATATTATAAGAGAAAGATTAACCATTTTATTTGAATATTAAATTATGTCCAACAATTACTCCTTAAGTAGCAGTAGTATAAAGTCCTCAAAAACATTAAATTGTTTAATAAATACCTAATTAAAGTTCTATAATCTCTTAAACAGCATAATGGTCTCCAAATGTTATTAATCATAATTAAAACTAATAAATATAATAAAGTTACTAATCAAATGTAATCTATGCTTCTGAAGTTTCTCCTTAAAGATTAATTCAAAGTTATAATTTTTAGACTACCTAATCTCCATTGATTAATTATTAAGCAAATTAATTAGTATAATAATCATCAGAAGCTAATCACTTAAATGAACCTGATTATGTTTAGCCATCATTACCCTTAAGATAATAAGAATGAAATTTAAATTTTATTCTTAGAATTATAATTATAACTCACCTCAATCTACATCAAATATTTGTTTATTTTTAATTTTATCATTATTTCTACTTTTAAATTTATAATAATCAATAGAATGTGTATTTTAGACTAACTTTAAATATGTAGGAGAATATAAAACAGTTCAGTCAGAGTTCCAATATTGACAAAAAAAAATAAAATTAATTAATTTTAGTTATTATAGCCAGATGGAGATATAGCGGTAAGTAATCTAGAATTGTAGCATGACTTCTAGATAAACTAATAAAAAGAATTGGTATTAAATGATCGTTTAAAATATTAGTTAATAAATAAGGCACAATCATTAATCGTAAGATTACTCTATTATACAAAATTAACTCAATGGGACATAGCCTCTTCGATATGATACCAAAAAATACACATATTAGAATGGCTAACCAAAAATGTGTATACAGTATGATAGCAATTTGGAAAAAAATAGAGAAAAAATATAAGAAATCAAATAATTGATTTCAAACTCAAAAAAATCATATCCATAACTAATGAAGAATTAAAATATGTAGGATAGCCTAAAAGAATCTTAAATAAGAATTTAAATACCTAAACCTATTAGAAATATTTCTAATTTCTCTCGTGACAGTAGATAGTCTACTACAACCAGCTAACATACTCCATTAAGGAGTTCTAGTCACGATAAATAACTTAGTTATATGTAGATGTCAAAAAATTATAAATCTCCATTAAATAGATTTAAAAAGATTAAATATTTAGGGAGAGGCAATATTAGTGATGTCTATTCAGTCATGTAAAATTCAAATATAATTTTTGATTAGTGACACAACAACTGGAATGATAGCTGCTCTTAAAACAATACAAAAATCATTGATCACTAGTAAAGGTATATAGGGATTGATAAAAACGGAAATAGCAATTTAAAGTTTTATTTGTCATTAAAATATTTTAAAGTGCTATGGTATTATCAATGATGATAAATAAGTATAAAATAAAGTTATAAAAAAAGATTGCATTAGTTTTGGAATTAGGAGAAATAACACTATTTAATTATAGAAAAGAAAAAAAATTATATGAAAAATAAATAATTGACATAATTTACCAAGTTTTGAAGGGAGTAAGCTTTTTACATTAGAATGGAATAATTCATAGAGATATAAAACCAGAAAATATCTTGTTATAAAATGGAATAGTGAAATTAGCAGATTTAGGTATTTGTGTAAAAGCTATTGAAACTAACTAATATTGTGGAACTCCTGGTTATATGGCTCCAGAAATAGTAGAAAATTTAAAATACACTAATAAAGTTGATTGTTACAGTATTGGAGTTCTACTGCACGAGTTGATGTTTGGAAAAGTTCCAAAAATTGGTTAGAAAATTAATGGTGATACATAACTTATTAATTTAATGAATTAGCTTTTAGAAGTGAATCCTATGATCCGTTTAAGTTGTAAATAAGCATTAGAATATGATTTATTCAAGCTTTGTGAAAGAAAGGTTGTGAAATAAACTGAAATGATAAAAAACACAATTTTATGGGATTGTTGATATGTATAATTTTGAGAATTCTAAATTTTCTAATATGTTTATATAAAAATTTTATAGAAATAAAAATAAGACTGTTTTTGAAAAACAATTTCTTTAAAATTTGATTTTGACTGAGATAATATATAACTTTATGAAAGTTCTATAAAAAGTTGATCAGATTGTATGTGTATTGGTTCCAATAATAAGAATTCAGAGCATAGTGTGTTTTAAGTTTAGTCTGATATATATGATTTAATCTAAAATATTAAAATAGTTTTCAAAATGTTTTAATAATATTCAGTCAAGGAAAGTTTTTATCTTTATTCAATAGTGTTGTTAAAGTTGAATTGGTTAATGTTTTTTTGATTCTGTTTGAATCTGGAAAAGGAAAGAATTTTGTACTGTTTTGATTGGAATATAAAAAAGTGTTACATAAACTTTTTAAATTATCTATGGGTGATCTGTTTAGATATAATATGAAGATTAGTTAGTTGTATAGTATTTGAAGTGAGAAAGTTTTATTGATATTATTAATCATATTGATATTTCATTCATTTGATGAATCAACTTTCTAAGTAGCATTTAGAAGTCTTGCATTCTTTGTTTACTGTATCACACATTTTTTTGCATTTGTCTTAACTTTCTAACGATTATCTCAGTTGAGATTAAGCACATGTATAAACGCAGATATTAATTTATGAATCACATTTGGCTTAGCATTCTTTGACCTTGCTGGTAAGAACTATGGTTTCACACGAAATTGCTTACCACCATTAAATAGCAAAACGATTAATATAATCAAGAGTTTAATATTCATTTTAATTATTATATGTCATTTATTCATAATTTTGTTTAGAAGGTGCTTCAATTTAAAGGAACTTATGAAGATGCCTTATTGTAGATTCAATCTTTTATAGCACAGTTATTTTGTTCCTTATTTGAAGTAAAGTAGAATCAAGAATTACTAATTTTTAATGCTTGTATAAAAAGAATAGATTAAGTCTTAATAAATCTTCATGATTACTTTATTGGTAAAACATCTTTATATATCAATAGAGGCTTCTCTACCAATAAAATGTATATTTAGAGATAAACCATATACTCAAGAGGGATTCATTAGTAGTGATGATGAGGTCTAATAAATTGTTTAATCATCTGTTACTAAATTGAAATAGATCAATCCTACAGTTGTTTAAGAAACTAAATTACCTATTGATGAAAAAATTAGAATGAGGGATGATTTAATTTAAAAAATGACAATTGGATATTTGAAAGAAGTATAACATTTAAGGGAAATGTTTGTAAGAAAAGATTTATTTCCAAATGAAGAAATTTTTGATGTCTCTTATTATGATTATACAAATACATTAGATCCAATCATAAGATAATTTATTTACAACAAAATTTTAGATGTTACCTAATAATTTAGACTTCAAATCTAAAAATTAACTTAATCAAATTAAAAGTATCTCTCAGAGATTGAAAAATTAAGATCATTAGTCAAAAAAATTGTTGGTAGTGCAGAAATTGAATCTTAAATCAAAGCGATTTTATAAATAGATAAAGATTTATATAGATTTTGGAAAGGAATATAAGAAGTAATAGGAACATAATAAATCTTTGAAGTTTTTGAAAAAAGAAAATAAGGATACGGAATAGATTATACTTTAATTGATAGATGTATAAACAATAGTTAAGCTTCTGGTAGAATTTTCACAGAATTCAAGATTTAATTAGAAGGTAATTATTAATTTAATACTGCTTAGAGTAATAATTAAAATTTACCGAACAAGTTACAAGGGAATTAAATATGAAAAAAAAGGAAATTGAAGAATTACAGTATCTCTTGTAAGATTAAAAAAATAAAACAGAAGTAGATTTTTTAAAGGTCAAATATTTTATAAGATAAAGTGTAGAGTAGACTTTTTAAATTGAATAGAACAAATGTAAATATAAATATTTTATTTTTAATTTATTAGGTATGGAATAATATAGAAAAAATATGCAAGATGCGTTAGATTTAATTGCAAGTAAGGAAGAGTAATCCTTGATTCGAAAATGTATTAAAAGTCATGCATTATACAAATGGATTTACTTAGCAAATATAAAAAAATAGTTGAATTAAAAAAATACAAGAAGATCTTTATCCAATGACAAATCTTGCAAATCAACAAATGTTTTTGGGTTAAAAGATGATAGAGTGAGTAGTTTGAAAAAAGAATTGAAAATTTCGAAAGAAAATCTATTAGAAGCACAAATGAATATGTAAGAAAGTTAAGGGGAATTATAAACTTTAAAATCTAATTATACTAATTTAAAATATAATTTTGATATGTAACTATCAACTCGGATAGCTACACAATAAATTAATGTTTAATTAGAAAATACTGTAGATTATTTTTCCAAGATATATAAATTTTTAAAAAATAAAGTCGGTTTAAATTATTTCGAAATAAATTTAAAAAATTCTAAATACTTTTTAGATAAATCTGATGAACATCTAAAATTGTTTGAATAAAAGGTTTAATCTTTAAAATCATAAGATTATGATATGCTTCATGAATTAGTATAGTAATTAGCAAAAAGATAGATAATGTATAAAAAGATGTATTCAGAATTAGATGTTAATGCATTCACAATGACTGATATTTTTGATATTAACAAGCCCCTATAGGATTCAGAAAATGATTTGAATAATTATATACTAATTAAAAGTGATTAATTAAGATAAGTTGAATATGATAATTAAGTGTTTGAATAAGAATTAGAAGAAGCAAAAAAATTATTTATATAAGAGCAATTAGAAAAGGAATAATAAAGATTAGAAGAGGAGTCAGAACTGGAAATAAATTAAGATATTGAAGAATAAATATAAGATAAACATAATTTAGAGTAAAATAATCATGATTCAAGTAATAATAAAGAAGATAGATATTTGAAGGAATCTCTTGAAAGTAATTTTGAACATAAGTAAAATTCTAATATTTTCTAAAAACGGTAAAAGGGTTTATTAAGAACTGAACAAAATGAATTTTAGATATATAGATAACAAGTAGCTAATACAAAGATTAAAATGAGAAATTAATAATAATAGACTAATGTAACAATTGATTGTACTAAATGTTATAATGATATATTTGAAAGGATGAATCCAGAATTTCAATAAAAATAGAATGAACATAAATCTAAAGGGATGGTTTAAATTTCAAAATCAAAATTTTTTTAAAATAAATATTAAACAATGGCATCTATCTTGAGTTAATAGAATGTAATGAGAATGTAATCTGAAAGATTTAAGAAAGCAGATAGAACTTAGATGAATTAATCTATGTATTCTCAATAAAACAGGCCTTAAAGTAAAATTGAGAGATCAATAACATATAGAGGAGAGAGAGCATAGATTATAATAACACCAAAATCTGTTCCAATAACTTGTAGAATTAGGTAAATAAAATGATATACATTTATATTATACTAATTGTTCATTTTAATTTAACCATCATTTATTCAGGTTATTCTAGATATTGTTTCCAAGTATTCTAAAATCTAGCAATAGTAGCACCATCTAAAATTCTATGATCACAACCAAAACTAGTATAAATCTAAAATTGAATATGATAAATATACAATTTTTCTGGGTTAATATGATCCTCCAATAAATCTTGGTTATAAAACAACTCTTCCAATTCCAACTATACATACTTAAGGTGGTAAAATAAGAGGTCCAACATATGTTCCTGCAATGGTTCCTATATTACTAATACAAATAGTTCCATTATTCAATTCATTTGGTCCTAGTTTACTTTCATCTCCTAACTTTCTTAATCTATTATTTATTTCAATGATTGTTTTTACTTATTTAATTATTATTGAACTTCTAAAATGGAGAGATTTTAAACTTATTTGATATTTGGTACTACTAATCCTTTAGGTGAATCCATGGCAATAGAAATGTTGTGATCTTAATGAGTAACAAATTAAAAGGGTGCATTGGAATCATAAGTTGAATTTAAGATTGGAAATTGATGTAGAGCAAGAGAAAAAGATTTAATAAATAATGTCATAAAAGTGATATTTGATTGTTTCTTTAATTCTTCTCTAAAAGAACTCTATAAATTAAATTAAAAAATATACTAAAGATGTAATATCAATTTCTTCTTGCAAATATAAATGTGGAATAGTATTAGATTCAGTCATTGATTTTTGCATACCTTTTTGAAAATCTGTCATTTTAATAATTTATGATTTCTAAATTGAATTAGTTTATTATGATTTAGGTTGATTTTGATAATTAGAAATATCATCTTTAGTAATTGTTCCATAAATGCCAGTACCTTTAATATTTTAAATATCAATATTGTGTAATTAAGCCAAATATTTAGCGGATGGTGAAATTCTTTAAAGAGAAGATTCTTTTTAAACATGATGAGGAATAGGTTTTGGTTAAACTTAAGTGATTTAAGATGATTATTGAAAAGTTTAAGTTGTTTGATTTGGAATAGATTATATCTCATCTACATCTATATCTACAAACAATTCTCCTACTTAACATTGATCTTATTCTTTATGATATCTCTTATGAATAATTCCAGTAAAACTACTAGGTATTTAAGTGAACATTTTATCTGTGGACACATCTGCAACAGGATCAAACTTTCTGAAAAGATATAATATACTTCTGAAATCGTATCACCTTCTTTGACATGCCATTTAACAATAGTAGCTTCCTTAATCTCTAGCAATTATTGATGGTTTTACTTTCTCCTAAATCAGGCAACTTAAAATGTTTAATGGTACCAAAGTATTTAATTATTTTTAACATAATAATATATTTAATACGTACTTTGTATATTGAATATTAAGTTATTCATAACAATTTAAGATTATCATTTTTAATTGAGTGAGTACATATAGATGTCATTAAAAGACATCAAATTTCTATCTCCACCAAAAACTACCATTATTTCACCCATTACTATAGCACTATGTCCATCTCTAGCACATGGTTTCTTTCCATTTAGAGATGCTTAAATTGCATTCTTTTTTCCTGTTGGTGATTAAATCTTTCTTTATCCTCCTTATTTTTCTTAATTAGTTATAACACTAATTGAATTCTTAATTTAATCTGTTGTAGGTGATGAACTCCTAAATTTTGACTTCTCTTCTTCATTCAATTCAAATTCAGCTCTTTGTATTATATATAATATTAATACAGCATTTAGTTTTTCTTTTAAAGCAGTCTTTTTTTTTTCTATTCATCCATAGTATTTAATTGAAAATTATTAACAGTATCAGTAGGTTATTTTTAATCAAGATTTTTAACTGAATTTCTTCTTTAATGAAGAGAATTCTTAGGTTCATCATCTAATAATAAAAATTATCTAGGTTCATTCCTACCTTTCTCTTTTTTTTATGGTCTAGCTTAACTAGCTTTATCAAAAGCAGAATCATTCAACATTTCTTCTGCTACTTATCTTCTACTGGTATCTTCTTCCAATTAAATCCATTCATTCCCTCTATACAACCATAAATCATTCTTCTCATGTGTTATATCATGAATTCCTCCAAATAACATTATTCCTTATGGATGAATTAATAAAGAAGTAGAAGATCTTGTCTATTATTTTTAATAATCTAAATAAATACTCCTGGAGATTTTTCTGTAACTATTAATCCCCACTATTTACTTTCCAAATCAAATTTCCAGAAATCCCCAAATCTTGATTCATAATTACATCCTCCATAAACATACATTGTATTTCCTATTAATGTAACTCCTGCTTCGGCTCTTCCTTTTGGGAATTGAGTATGATTGTTATCTCCTTTAAATATCATTGTCCAAACTTCCTTTTATATATCATATTATAATATTGAAGATCTATATCCAGTTTCACTATAGAATCCTCCAAATACAATCATTTATTACTATATTATTAATTTATACTACTACTACCTATTCATTCCATAAACAACTTTAATGACCTTCTACTGCCATCTTTTTGCCTTCTATTATACATTCTTTTCCCTCAATAAAAACTTCATCTTAAAAATCATAAATCCATAATCTTGCTGTTGGAGACATTAAGTTTTCTTTTCCTCCAAACATATACATTTTATTTTAATGAACTATTGCTGTATGATTTCTTAATGGTCCTGGAATCTAATCTTATGGTCTATCTCCTCCAGCCTTCTTATTCAAACTTGTCCAACAAAAAGGCTTTGGTGAAACAGGTGATGGAATTCTACAGAAATCACTCAAAATTCCTTCATTCGTTTCATATCCTCCATAAATATATAGACTTTATATATATCTAATTATCTTTACTAATTCTCATGAGTCACACATGAATGATATGATCTTCTATGTATATTTTTACCCAATGGCTTTAATTCCTACCATTTAGGAAATACATCCTATTTTTATTTACTTATCATCTTACTATCTATGATTTTGATCTTAAAAATTCTTCATCATCATCCAACATTTTTTTTCCCTTCATTTTTTAATATTTATTTATGTAATAAAAAGAACCTAAACTTTGCAAAAAGTGTAAAACAAACAAACCAAGCATTATCATACAAAAAGACCCTGTTTGTTAAGAATGCTTTATTGGATATGTTGAACATATGTTTAAAATGTCTCTAAGACTTAAGTGTAATATAACACAAAAAAATGAAAAATTATTGATTTGCTTCTCTGGTGGATAGTATATATTTCCCCATTTATTTTAGGAATTCTACAGCCTTAGTCAAAATGACTAGTGATGTTGTCTATTCTACTTGTGCTCACAATAAAAGTAAAATGTTTATATAAGCTCATGTTTTGTACATAAATGAAAGTTTTATTATGAAAGAATTTATATAAGAATATGTAATTATTTATATATATATTCTTTAGCAACCCTAAGATTACATTCCTTTTCTAACCAATGAATGTAAATTACCCTTCCAAACTATTGATATTCAATCTATCTACCCAGATCCTTATGTTTTACTTTAATAACTTCATAATTTATCAGAATTTGGATCTTCAAGAGAAGATTTTGTTCGCTTAATTAAATTACACATCATTTATGATTATGCCATTAAAAATGGATTTTAAAATGTAATTCTTAATCATACTCTAGATCTGCTTTGGTTAAAATGGGTAAAGATTGGCAGCAGATCTATTTTCTTAATTATCTAAAGGAAGAGGATTAAGTTTATAATCAGCCACTAAATATAATTATTCATTCGTCTATCCTATCAACCAAAATAAATTATAAATCTTACATCCTCTTAAAGATTTACTCAATAAAGATATTTTATATTATCTTAGATTAAAATCTAACATCAATTTTCCAAACTTTATCTTAGGATAACATTTAAGCCATGCTGTGAAAAATGTAATAATATCTTCTAAGTAAATTATATTAGAAACCAGCCAATGGAAATATTGATCATTTACTTGAATAATTTATTGATAAATTATAGGAAGGTTTTCCCTCCACAACATTTACTGTTTTAAGCTCAGCAGACAAAATAACCCTCAAACCTCTTTTGTAATAGAATTATTGTCCTTTATGCTTAGAAATCAGAGATCAAGTTTATAATCGTCTTGAAGTAGAAACTTTAGATAATTCAAATTAAGTAAGAATATCTAAATAAAAATTTAGCAATTAATCAATCATTTAAGAAATAACACTAAATATTATAATAAAATTTGTTTCACTTGTAATAGGATGCTGTAGTCAGCTCGAGAACTAGAGAAATTTTACAATTTATAAGGATTTCCTCCTTTAATTATTTAACTGGCAGATTTAATATAATGAGTATTATTAATTATGTTAATAATTTTTAATTTAATATTATTCAACTTACTATGTTTATTATTGTATAATTTTAAAAATTTTTAATTTTTATTTTTTTCTTATTTTAGCATCATTATTTATGACCAATTTTTCAGGTTGAAAATTTGTTTCGAATTATGGATATAATAAAGAAAAAATTAAATTTTATTTACTATTTATTTATTCAAGAATATGATCTAAATAGAGATTTTAAATTTAATTGATTGCTTCCAAATTATACCATATTATTAAATATAAAATAGGTATTTAAACTTTGACATTAGTTGAATCAATATTTAATTCAAAGCAATTAATCATAGTTTATATTGAAATTCCAGCCTAAGTCAAATTATTTTTATGGAGTTTAGGTGCTTCCATTGGTCTATAATTTAAAAAGAATGTTTTTTGAAGTGTTACAATATTTCTACATTTAATGATAAATTGTTATAAATAAATATAATTAAAAAATATTACACAGTGTTACTATTTATGAAATTGCCTTAATTTTTAGTTTTATAATTATATAAGATTCCAAAAAATATTGTTAATTTTCAAAAATAAAACTTCTTTATTTTATAAAATTTGGAATATGAGTTTTAATATAATGGATTAGCTTGTTCACCTTATATAATTTTAAATAAAAAGAATAAAGTAATAATTAGGAAGTGATTGATCTCAAGATTTAACAATAAAATTATATGGAATAATTTTATATAATTAAAGAATGGAACGTAAACTATATTTTGGAATAGGGCAGCAGCCATAAAACAAACAATACCATTATCCAACTAACTTTATTACAACTAGCAGGTATCTTAAAGATATTATTTGAGGTATAACATCTTAACTTTTCTTCCATATTCATTAGCATTATAATTTTAGAGAATGGCGAACATTTATTTTCTTATTATTGCTATATTGTCATTTTTTAAATCCATATCTCCTTTTAGTCCTATGAATTCAATAGCACCTTTACTTTTTGTCGTTTGTTTATCTATGTTAAGAGATGGATATGAAGATTATTAAAAACATATAAGTGATAATGAATTGAATTCATCTCCAACAACTATATGGACTAGTGGTGGATTTGTCAAAAAAACTTGGAAAGATGTGATAATAGGAGACATTATAAAAATTGATGAAATGGAAATAATTTCAGCTGATATAGTAGTTTTATAAACATCTCAAGATGGAATATGCTTTATAGAAACATCTTCTTTGGATGGAGAAAAGAATTTAAAACCAAAATAGGCAGTTAAAGATACTTAAACTATGGAATGCAGAGAAGGAATAATTGAATGTATAAATCCAAATCCTTTACTCTATAATTTTGATGGAACTTTATTTTTGGAGAGTAAGAAGATTCAATTAACGCATAAAAACTTTTTATTGAGAGGATCAAAATTGAAAAATGTTAAATGGGCTATAGGTGTAGTAGTTTATACTGGAATAGATACAAAAGTAATGAGAAATTCTGAGGAACAAAAAAATAAGATGAGTAATATAGATAGATTAATAAATGTGAGAATCATTTACATCTTAATAATGCAAGCATTTGTATGTTTAATTCTAGCAATTGTATATGGAATAAATTGCGATATCAATTCATTAAATTTCTAATATTTTAGTACAAATTTCTCTGGATATGAGTCGTAATTAACATAAGTAGAAATTTATGATCCTGAGATTCCAAATTGTGCTTTAGCTTCATTAATGACATTTGCTGCATATTTTCTCCTTTTAAATACTTTAATTCCAATAAGTTTGATAGTATCTTTAGAATTTGTAAAAGTAGGTTAGGGAATAATTATGTAAAAAGATAAAGAAATGTATACCGAAGAAAATAATAAATATGTTAAGGTTTTTAGTACTACAATTAATGAGGAATTAGGATAAGTTTAATATGTGTTTTCTGATAAAACAGGGACTTTAACTTGTAATAAGATGGAATTTAAGATATCTGTTTGTGGAAATGAGATTTATGGTGATGTTTCAATGTTTGATAAACATGAGCTTAATACTTTTGTAGAAAATTAGATATTAAGAAGATAAAGCACTTTACATTAAAGAAGATCTACAGTGGTAAATGAAAAAGCAGGAATTGAATATACATTCTCTGGTGCAGTAATACAATCAATAATTACTGAAACAGATCCTAATAAGAATCCAAACATAGAACTTTAGGTGGATAAATATTTAATTAGAAATCAAGGAGATTTAGTAAAAGAGAATTTAATGTTACTAGCCACTTGTCATGAATGTGTTCTTGAATTATAGGATGATGGTACATTTAATTATTAAGGACCTTCTCCAGATGAAATAGCATTAGTAGATGCTGCTAGGAGATTAAATATAATTTATAAAGGAATTAAAATGGGTATGATGGAAATAGATGTTCTTGGTGTGGTTGAAAAGATTGAACTTCTATTCTCTTTTGAATTTAATAGTGATAGAAAAAGAATGTCTGTTATTGTTAGACATAACGGAGTGATTAAATTGTATACTAAGGGTGCTGATGCAATTATTAAAGAAAGATTAGCACCAAATTAACCATTTTTAGCTGGAATTGATAAAAAATTAGATATGTTCTCCAGAAAAGGATTGAGAACTTTGTGTTTAGCAATGAAAGTTCTTGATGAATAACAATTCAATTAATTCTCTAAAGCTATGAATGATACTCTAGGAGGAAATGAAACTGAAAAATAGTAAACAGAATTAATCAATTAAATGGAAAAGAATTTAACACTTATAGGTGCTACTGCTGTTGAAGATAAATTATAAGAGGATGTTCCTGAAACCTTAGCAGACTTTTTAAAAGCTAATATAAATGTTTGGATGTTAACAGGGGATAAATTAGAAACAGCTGAAAATATTGGTAGATCATGTAATCTATTACAAGAATAAATGGATATTTTCTTTTTAACTCCAGGTTGTGACACACTTTAAATATTTAATTAAATTGCTGATCATATAATTTAATAACCTAATACAAAAAGAGCCATGATCATAGAAGGTATTGTTTTAGCTGCTTTGATTGATAATGAAAATTTAACTAAATATTTGGTGATGTTAGCTCCTTATCTTCATACTGTTATTTGTTGTCGTGTTACACCAAAGTAAAAAGCTGACATGGTTAGATTAGTTAAGAATGAATTAGGTAAAATTACTTTGGCTGTTGGGGATGGTGCCAATGATGTCAATATGATCTAAGAAGCACATATTGGAATTGGAATTTATGGTCAAGAAGGTATGAGAGCTGTTTAAGCAAGTAATTATGCTATTGGTTAATTTAAATGTCTTTGGAAATTAATCTTATATCATGGAAGATAAAATTATATTCGTATATCTGAAATGATTTTATACTTCTTTTATAAAAATATCATTTTTACCATTCCACAATTCTATTTTGCATTCTTTTGTGGGCTTACAGGAACTAGCGTTTTTGATGAATTGTATAATATAATCTCATTTAATTTAGCTTTGTCTCATTTTATAATACAATATTCACATTCTTACCTGTTGTTATTAGAGCCATCTTTGATGAAGATGTTTTCTATACACAAAAAACAAAACAAACAATAATAGGTAGTAAAAGAATTACAGAAGGAGAATAAGAAAATGATATACTCAGATAGAGCTATCCATTACTTTATTATATTGGACAAAAAAATACTATTTTTACAAGCGAAAAGTATATTATAACTAATTTATTTAGATTTTTTAAATGGTTTTCTATTGGTATTTTTTAAGGATTAGCATGTTTCTTCTCTTTTTATTTTGAATTAAATGATACTACCTTCATTAAGGAAAATGGATATAATAATGATTTATGGTTCTTTAGTATGTCTATGTCTACTGCTATCATGATTGTAAACTATTAGATTTAATACTAGCTTGTCACATTAAAATTAGCCTTGAATACTCAATTCTGGACAATTATCACTTGGATTGCCTATATAATTACCAGTTTAGGTACTTATTTTGCGTATATGGCGGTTTCCAACATTGTTCCAAAGTCTGCAATATATGGAACTACTACAATGTTATTTTCAAGTTATGCTTTCTATTTAAGTCTTGCTTTATCTGTATTATCAATGTTCATTTTTGATTTATTAATGTTCACTATTAAAACTTCTAAAGATACTTTACTCAATTATATGAAAAGATAAGCAAAATAAAAACAATAATTAGATAAAGCCAAAATATCTAAATTAGAAAAGAAGCTCTAAGAATAAATATAAGAAATGGAAATGCCTCATTTTGAATTAAATTAAAAAATAAGCCTAATTAATTCTAGTTTTTCATAGAATGACAGTATATCGAAACGAGAACCAAGTAAGGATAATTATTTATGAGTTTATTTAAAATAAATTATGTCTTAATTCAACAAAAATAATCATTTTTTTTATTTTAAGAAATATCTATCTGACCTATTTATGTAGCAAATTTAAATTAATTAAAAATAATATTAAAATAAACCAAACAGAAATGGGAGTTTGTAATTCGAAATCAAAGAGCTCAACCAATATCTAATAATAAGCATTTGCCTAAGTCCTTAATAAAGGATCTGAGAAGAACGATATTGAAGCATTAATTAGAGAAAAAACACAATCTCAAGATTTATATAATCCATACCGAAACCCAATTTTGAATCGAAGGCTTAGATAGACTTTAGCTTGATTGATTTTATCTATATATATGTTTAGTGTCATCTTTTTTACAAATTGATAACATCTGCTTCATAATACAAAATTTTTATTTTCAGTCCCTCATTTATTTGGAATTGATTTCGTTTTTATATAAATAAGTATCTTTATTAATTAAACAATAAAATAAAAAGTCTTCAAAATATGTTCAATTATTTTAAAGTTGAATTTTCTTCCATAATCAGACTGTTTTCAAATAGGAAATCCTATAAAATAGAAATTCATTCATTTATAAATATGTTCATTATTAATCTAAAATATAAAAAAATATTAAATCTAAATAAATTATTATTCTTTTCTTGAATGATTTAATTTGCTTAATCTACAGATCTGATTATTTAAACAATTTAAAATTATTCTATTATTTATTTTATTATAAACAAAATATACAGATTCTCAGATAAATTATTTTTTTAATATTTGTCGATTCATTTTATTAAATTATTCAGATTATATAGCCTTTCTTAAGAAGCATTTTTGTTTTTCCAATTTTAAAAAATTTATTTTTACTTGGAGTTTAATATTTTCAGTAAATTTCCATTAAGGGTTTAAAAGTGAAGAAAAAGATTTCGATCTTTAATGGAGATTAGAAAATAAAGCACTGCTATTATTTAACTTTCTTATTCATTTATTGAATGCAATTAATATATTGTAATAAGCTCTATATTATTTGGATTATTTAAAATTAATAATTAAATTGAAGTATTAGATTTTAATTCTTTTAAAATTCTTTTCTCATTTAGTATTTAATATTTGATTTTAATGATTGTGTTTTTAAATAAATAAATAAAAGGAAATAAATTCTTAATATTTAAAAATGAGCATAAGAAGATTTAGAAGTGGAGGTATGCATGCAAATTCAGAAGAAGAATACTTACATGTATAAATTTTTTAAGAATTTCTTTTAGAAAATTGTTAAGTTGGAAAAATAATAAAAGAAAAAAACTTATTGTTAAGAAGATGAAGACTTTGATGGTTTCATATTGAATTCATAATTTACTTTTGATTGCATCGAACAGCCTCAATTGCCTTAAATCACTTAAAAATCTCATTTCATATTAATTATGATTGATGATCTATTATTAAGTCCTAGAAGACTGTAAAATATGATAGATTACAGTAAGTTAATATTTAAAATATTTTTAGCAGATAATTGTGAAACAATGACTTAAAGTACAAATGACGATTTCTCAAGTTGGAGTCCTTAAATAATGAATTATGATTTAATAGTTCATAATCATACATTAGATTGTGTGAATCACCTTTTTAACATATGGATGATAAATACTAAGAACATAAATTCAACTTTTAAAAGTATTTTAATTATCAATAGTAGATTGTTATTTCTAATTATTTGAAGCCTTTATTTGTGTAAACAATATAAAGAGCATGATTTTTTAAGAGGTATTCTCAGAAATAAAAGAATTTAATAGTGAAGTTCAGTAATTTCATATCAAGGAAAATGATGAAGTAAAAATAGTTCTTAGATTAGGCTTCTCCTGAAAGAAAATAATTCAATAATCTTCAATAAGTTTTGAAAACATTAATTGATTAGAGAATTTAATGAAGACAGTATATTAAAATGATTTGTTTATTGTTTCTGTATCTATTTTATAAATGAGAATTCTCATCTATTTATATAAATAATATAAAAAAAAACTATATATTATTATATAAATTAATTTAATAAACAAAAATGGCAGATCAATCATAAGCAGAATATTTGAACTTAAAGGTTAAATCACAAGATGGCGAGGAGGTTTTCTTTAAAATCAAAAAATAAACTTAATTTAAGAAGTTAATGGATGCCTATTGTTCTAGACAAAATGTATTTTGAAGTGATTAATTTAGCTTCAAATCTAAAATGTTAGATTTTTATTTGATGGAGAAAGAATTTTAGAGACTTAAACCCCAGCAGATGTAGATTTATTTTCTCTATCTATTAGATTGGGATGGAAACTGGAGATGAGATTGATGTTGTTATTGAATAAGTCGGTGGATAGATTATAATGTGAAATTATCATTATATTTTATAATAAATAATTTATGCTCTGCTTCTTTCTTTTGTTAATTGAAATCGCTAACTGTGGAGATATATAAGTTTTTAACTAATATGGGACCCAACTTTAAGATAAAATTCTAGTATACTAAATATAAGTATTATAGATAATTACTAAGAATGGAATGATTTACAATTACGACTTAAAAAACTAATAAATTCTTTGGGTATAATAATTAGAAATAGCTCTTTAATCTGAACAAGTTAATAGCACTTAGTACTATATATAACCTTATAGAGATGGTACATATTTACTTATTGATGATTTTGTTTATGTAAGTAAAAAACTTAACAAATTAGGAAATAGAACAAGATGATATCAATTTATTATTTAGAACTTGTAGTTTATTTTAAAATTCTTTAGTCTACAATAATAATATTGCATATTTTTTAGATATAGAAACAGGAAATTTAAAAAAGTTAAATCAATTTGATGTGAAGGAGCTTTTAAAAAAACCTAAATTATATCAGCAAGGAGTTCTAATTTATATAAATTAGTAATATATTTCTAATCTGGAATAAGAATTCTCTTTAATATATAATTCTAAAATATACATGAATTTCTTACTGTAATATATTCGAGGTAACTAGTAAGGAATCGGAGTATCAAATAATACTTAAATTTGGAAGACTTAACATGGAATACATGTTAATTGGAACAACAAGACTTTCGATTTATATTTAGATAATGAGGTTTTTCAAGTTTATATGTATGATAATCTTGAAGGATTATATTCTTTACCTTTAAAACTCAATCTTGTAGAATCGTAAAGTTCAGCAATTATATCCATTTCTGATAGCAAATTATAATGCGAAAATCAAAGGCACTGCTTAATAAACAATAATTAACCTTTTAAGGCTTTGGATATTTATAAATAGACTGAGCTTAAATAGTGTCTTAATTAATTTTATAAAGAAAAATTTTCAACATTACCAATAGTTTATCAATAAAGCTAGCCTTAAAATTTAGAAAGTTGTTTTGAAATTTATGATGACAATGATTCTATTACAATGCTCTTATTATTAATACTTTTAATAGCTTTTGTTATATTAGTTAAACATAATTATAAAAAGTAAAAGTTAACGCTTAGAATAAGACTTCAAGAATAAAAAATAGAATAAAAATATATTTAATAGAATTAAATTTAGTTTAATCAATTCGAAATCTTAGGATAGGGTTCTTAAGGTACAATTGTTTATGAAGGCATTTTTAACAATTAAATTGTTGCTGTAAAAGACATTAATTTATTGAATTTATCTTAAAGTATGGTAGAAGGTCAATTAGAAAGATCATTTAAAGATCAAATGTCTTTGAACTCTCATAAATTTTTAAAACTTTATTTTTATGAAAAAAGTGAAAATCATATCTATTTAGCCATGGAAAAAGGCTTGATAAATTTAAAAGAATTTGTTAAATTTGAATAGCAAAATAAACTAAATAATATGCTAAAAGATAAAATTAAGTAAAAACTTGAAGATCCTGAATTTTATAAGGAATGCCTTTATAGTCTATTAATCGGGCTTGCAGAGCTTGAAAAGAAATAAATTAAACATCATGGATTAGATTATGAAAATATCATATTTAATAAAGACATCCAAATTCTTTTTTCTGATCTAGGTACTTCATTGAGGCCGGATTACTATAAATTGAAGTTAAATTAATCTAATAATAATTTTCTTGATTGTAATTCTGTAAATTAGTAATTAGGAGTAATATTTTATTACCTACTTTCAAAAGGAGATGATCTTAAAAAATATTCTGAAATTAACTAAAAGATGATTGTTAATAAATTTAAAAAATATAAAATAAAAGAATTAGATTTAAGAGATTTGATATTGTAATTGCTTTTTGATAATCCAATTAATAAATAAAAAAATCTCCTTTTACATCCATACTTTTGGAATAAGGAGAAAAAACTAAAATTTATATGTGAATTTAGTGATTATGTCGAAACTTCACCTTAAGAAATAGGCTAAATAGTAATATAAGAAAGATTTATTTAAAACAAAGTTTTTCAAGAAAATTGGGGCCTAAAATGTGAAATTCTTTTAAAAGAATAAAATCGAAGATATGATTAGACCTAAGCTTTATAATTAATAAGAGTATAAAATGATCTTATAACTTATAGCTTATTAGGAATACAAAGAACCATTATCACTAATTAACTAGTTAATGTAAAACTTTATTAGGAAAATCTGAAAAAGATTTATATAAATATTGGAATAAAATCTTTCCAAATTTATTTTTTACTATTTATTAACTTGCATGCGAAAATAATTTAAACTTATTAAGTTTAAAGGAAAATTGAAATGATTATTTAAATCACTAATTAATCAATAAATACCACTCCCTTCAATCTCTTTAAAATTAACTATGTATTTTATTCCTCAACCGAACATCTAAATCTTAATATCAAGTTCTTATTTAATTATTTTAATAAATTTAAAGATGTTTCGAAACAATTCTACCACAAATATAAAGCTAGATATTATTATTAGTATTTTAGCTGATGAAAACTTTTTGCGATTTTAAAAAAATTGGTTAATAATTACGGCAAAAGAGGAGATCCTAGAGTTGCTAGTGAATTCTTATAATTTTCTGCCTATATTTTATCCAATCTAAAAGACATTTGTGAAAAAAGGTACCTCAAATTTAAAATACTTTTAAATTTTCAAAATTATAAGAAAAAACCAAAAGACTTAAATTTTTCTAAAGATTAAAAGGAAAATAATGCATTAATCAGAATAATTTACTTAAACTCTAGTCATTCTAGATAAAATAATTCAATTAATCAAAGAACTAATATCACAAAGAATTAATAAAAGAAACTTTAAAAGCCTAAATTATATTTTTTCTTTTCATAATTTGTTCTTATAAGTCATTAAATTAATTTAAGGAATAGCATAATACTTTATATCTATTTTATTATTCTTCATTAAAGGAACTATATTATTTTATTATTAAAAGATTATTTTATAAATATGGTTAAGATATAAGAGAATCTTTCTAGGAGAGAAAAAGAATTAAATACTTTAGTAATAGTTCCAAGAAAATTTAGAGACATTGGCTTTTTTAATTGACAAATATAAAATATTTTTGATTAATACTTTAAAATAAAGTTTATTCAAAAAAAATTGAAATCTTCGAAAGTATCATTATGATTTAAATATATTTAAAGAAAAATACATATTAGTGCATTTTCTCATTTTATAAAATTAATTTATCTTTCAAAAATATATGTAAAATTTTTTTTATTATTTTTATGTTAGAAAAAGCCCTTACTTATTGCTTACAAGAAGAAACCCCTATTTCAATTGCTGATATCATGCAAATATAATAAGATCAATAAATAACCAATAAATAACCGAGGATTTTAGCTTAGCCTATCAAATTCGATTTCCAATAATTTCCTTAAAAATTTATAAAGCAATCATCTATTAAGGAAATTATTCATCAAGGGACTTAAGATTAGAAATAGGCTCCTAAAATTACTCAAGACTTTTCTCCCTATCAAGGTGGATGGTAAAAAAGTATTCTTAACAAATACTATAATCTTAATACAGGAAATAATAGCTTTTGCAACAGTATTAATTTATATACAATAGAAACAAGAAGGAGAGCATATTCGATTTAGATGAACACTAAAAAAGTTAATTTAAGAATAAGAGACATGTCAATGTTTACAGATAGAAAATTTAAATTAGAACCTAATAATGAGTTCTGATTATTAAAATAACACAATTTAATCAATTTTATTGACAAAAAATTTTCATGATATTATTTATTTATTATGGACCTTTTGGAAGCTGTTCAATTTTAAAAAATTAAATTGTCAATATATTTAAAAAATTCCATATATTTTTATTTTTTAGGCAAAATGTTATTATTGATAATAAAAACTAAGTAGAGAAAAGAATTAGTATAGATATTTTCAACTTATATAAATAATATTATTATTAATATTTCTAAAATATTGAAAGTATTAATAGATTACTTTTTAATGTGTCTTTTTATAATTAATATATCAAATTGACAATCAAATATTCCCTAGAGCTTTATCAGCTTCTCTTTATCCTTCTTCAACTGATTTTAATGTTAATCTAATTTTTTCCTTATCTTTCTTCTTCAAAAACTCAGCTAATGCTTTTTCACCTTCGACTTTTGCAAATTCAGGCCAATCTTTTTCATCTTCGAAGAATTTATCATTCAAAACAGGATGCAAAACATCATTAGTATCTTCAAACTAAGAAATTTGATATATATACCTTATCCTTTAATGAATCATATTCTCTTAATTTTCTCAATTCTTCAGGATTCATTTCATTAGGTGTTCTTATTTTTAAAAAGGTTAAATCTTTATGTCTAATTTCTGGAGGATGCCATACAACAGCTGGTCTTCTACTAAATCTTTATGCTCTTCTAGAGAATTAGAGGGGTTTAGATTTTAAAACATGTGGAATCTGAATATTTAATTAAATACGATACTTCAAATGAAGGATCATTAATTTTAGTGAGCATCAATTTTCTTAAATATTCACCATAAATAGAATCCAAATCTTAAGGTTTAGTCAATAAAATATAATTATCAAAACTGCCTGCTTTTCGAATACATTTCATAGTTTTTGTAGTTACCTTTACATGTATTCTTCTTCCCAAAATTAATGATTCATATGTTTATTTTTGAACATTAGGCATCCATGATCGGCGAGTTCTATTTATTTAGATATATATTCACTTTTTTTCAGAAAAGCAAGTCTAATTTCCTGATTTAGGTTATTTTCCATGCCAAAGACAAAATTGACTCATAATTGTGTGTTTTGGAATTTGCTTTTAACAAATTCTTTTAATCAAAGCTGTGTCTAATAATTATCTTGGAGTCAATTAAGATATGCTTGTTGTAGTTGGATGAGCCCTAAGCCAATAATAAAATTAGGGTCGGTAACTTAATTATTTCATACCTTTGAGTAAGACATTCATTATTTCTTAATAAAAAAAATATAAAATTATACATAATTGATATTTTATTAAAAGAAAATATACAGACTTAATCCCTAAAGAGGTGTTGAAGATTTAAAAAGGATAATTATTATTTAGAATTGTTTGCCTTATATGTTTTTAGATTTGATATGATTTTAAAATGATGTTTTAAATAGAAATTTTTAACATTTCAATAAATGTTATAAATATTGAGTAAAAAATCATTATATAACATTGGGATAAATTATTTGAAGAAATATTTTTAATTTAATTTAAAAAAAATCGATGAATAAATACATGATTGATTAAACATAATTAGTCGAAAATAAACAAAGTTTGAATGGAATAATAGTATTTTTTCTGATATTATGTTACTTTTTGAGAGAAGGATAAGTTGTTTGTGAAGTAGAATTCTGAACTATTAAATTTTATTTACTAACTTCATAATTTATTTTTTTTAGAAATATTGAGTTGTTAAAATTAATGATTCAAAAAGAATGTTTCTTTTTCTAATTTTGAAGTAAAATAATAAAAACACATCTTGAATAAGTGAAATAATTTTTGTTCTACTAATGAATATTTATTGATTTAATAAATGTAATATCAATAATATTAATAATGGACTTATATTAACATTCTTATACGCTTCCTCCTAAACGATTGTGTAAAGAGCCTAAATTAGCAATTTCAATTTTGAAAAGGAAATTCATTGAACCAATATAAGACTTTGCTGGTGCTAGGAGAACTAGAACAAGTTTTTCACCTTAAAGAAGAATGAAATCAATTTAGACAAGATAAAAATCTGCAATATAGACATTTAATTTTGAAGTTGGATAAATTATTGTTCCAAAAAGAAATTCTAGAGTGACTCGATTTTAGGGTCCGAATTTTCCATTTAATCTAAATTACTTGATAAAGTAAATGAATGCTTTAAAATGATTATATATTAATTTTATAAAATGTATAATAACTTTAGAATGCAAAGAATAATTAGAACTGAAGGTGATTAGGAAGAGATCTTAAAAAAGCAAAAGAGTTTAGTAAAAGAAACAGTTTTTAAAAAAAAATCATAAACAAATATGGCAAAAGGGAGTTTTAGTGTTCATTCTAAAATAAAAACAAAAGATTCCATAATAATCTCAATAAATAAAATGAGTTAAGAAAAACTGTTAGATTTGCTTTGTTTATCTACATAGGACTTAAAGGAGAGATTTTTGAAACCGTCAATTAAACATGAAAAAATAAAAATAGTGAATAATAAACATTTGCCAAGGGATTTTTTAAACTTAGAAAGTAAAATAAAGTATTGATTTTGATTTTTTTTCATTTTATATATAATTATAATTCAAATTTAAACTCTAATTAAGTATGTCTGCACAAAAAAGTAGTTAGGAAAATTATAAAAGCAAGAAGATTTCAATTACAAAAGAATAGAATGAGAGTGGTTTTTTGATTGTTAGTCCTGTGAAGGAACTATCACCAATAAAGGATAAAATAAAAGAAGAGTAAAAATGTATAGAAATAATTGAATTTGGATGGTAAAGACACAAGTTAGGAGGTGAAATACGATATTTAGAGTAATTTTATAATGAAAATCCAAATTTATAAAAAAGTGATGTTTAGCGCCTAGATTTGGATAGTTGTCTTGATGATTAAGGTAAGTCTGTATATCGTAAGACAACTTAAGGATTGATGTAAAATATGGCATTAAAAATTTAATCTCGTATATAGTTGGCAGGAGAATAAATTTATACATCTCATCCATTGTAATAAGCTGGTTTAGGGGATTATCATTGTTTTAAAGGTGATTATGGTAAAGATTGGAAGGGCCATTAAGTGATAAAGAGTAAAACGTTGAGTGGAACAAAAAGAGGTTAGACATCTAGCAAAAAAATAATATAATAATGATTATAATTAAAACACCATATGTATTCTTTTTATTCATACTCACAGTCGTAGGAGTGTAGATCTCTGCTGTATCTGAAGCTAAAATCTATAATTGTGCTAATATTGAGCTAGTAGGATTGATTGGTGGTGATCCATTAACAATAGATACAAGCAAAGAACGATATGTTAGTTTTGATGGAGATGTTCGATTTTCTGTAAAGACACATAAATAAACAATGGATAGTTTAAAAGAGGGAAAGGATTATTTTGGAACAAATTCAATTCATTATAGTTCAATTTAAAATGGAATTTATATATTTGTTGTGGAGAAATCTTAAGAAAATATTATATAGACATATATTAAAACAAGTTTAAAAAGATAATACAAATAAGCTCAAATACCAAAAACATTTTATTTAAAAACCTAAATAGAAGGAGATAAAAAATATGCAATACATTAGATTGTATTAAGTGATAAATAAGAAATGAAAAGAGAATTGTTTAAAGAAGAAAAAGAAACTATGCAATCAGTAAAATGTTAATAATATAAGAGTTTACTGGTTTATAATTTTCAAAGAAATGTGTGATCATAGTATTTGCAACATTGGAGACAGGAACTAGTAGTGATTTCACAGCTGATGAATCCTTTTTATAAGGAATATAAGGAATTATCGATGAGATTAATAAAGGAAGTAATTAGGTTGTTATCAATAAGAAAAGTGTGAATAATTCTTTTGTAAGCCACCTTCAATCTCTAGTTTAGCTGAAGCTTTGTCTGATATTCCAGTTTTGAAAATATCATGTTAAAAGAAAATGTGTACATATTCTTAAGGAGGATAAACATAGGTTCTTTTTACTAAATGTACTTAAATCCTATAAACTTAGATCCATTTTTATAAACAGATAAAAATTTTAGATCACTTGAAAAATCTGTAAATGGTATGTTATTGACAACTATTTCACCTAAAAATTAAAAGTTTGTTTCTATAACAGCTTAATTAGCATTAAAATGTAACATAAAAGATTTTGATTTTCATTCTGGAGGATATAGTGGAGCATTTCAATCAATAAAAATAGGTGATTAAAAGTTATATAGTGCTTTAATAATAGAGCCAGGATACAATGGAATTAAAAGATAATTAAGAACATAAACACCTGAATGTAATAATTTATTTATTTTTATTAGTATATGATATATTGGAAGGAATTGAAAAGGTTAAATCTATTTATTACTTTATGATAATTACTAGTAAAGGACCTGAAGAATTATTTAATGATATGATATCAGTTATAGATTAAACTAAAAGTTAAGATTAAGCGAAGTATGCATGTACACCATTACCAAAAGATGATGATATATCTTTTATGCAGTTGAAAACTAAGTTAAATAGTTTATAAAGGTTAAATTAAGATGGCAATACTGAGGAGTATGAATATGTTTATGAATATGGATATGATGAAGTTGATGATGATGATGAACTTGGTGAGTATGAATATATTTATGAATATGAATATTAAGAATTACCAGAAGAATTAAATTAATAAGAATTTTATGAAGAAATAGATGATTAATAATCTGATTAAATAGAATTTGATTAATCAACAGATGATTTAGAATGGGATTTAGAAGATAATGAAAATTAAAATATTCGAAAAACTGATTTATTAGTAGAAGTTTAATAAAATGAGATGTGTTTCTAAGCATTTTCAGAATGTGACTTTTAAGGTGCTTCACTTAAAATTTGTGGACCTACTCCAAGTATCCCGAGAGAATTATAAAACTTTATAATTTAATCTATAAAAATACCTGAATAAATGAGAATCACATTTTATACTCATTAACAGTAGAAAATCACAATAGAAGGAGATTAAGAATGTTTGTAGAGACCATTTGAAATTGATTAGATGAGGCCTTAATGATAATAGTTGAGTCATTAATGATAATGCAATATTGGATAAACATTTTTTTTATATCATTTAATAAATTATATATTACAATGGCTGAGGGAAGAGAGAACTGGGCTGTAGATGAATTATTAAAAGCTGAAGAAGAAGCAAATAGTATTATTAAGACAGCATAAAAGGAAAGAGAAAAAAAAATAAAGGAAGCTAAAGTTGCAGCTGATTAAGAAATAGCAGTATTTCGTAGAGAAGAAGAGACAAGATATAATTAAGAAATTTTAAGGGTAAAAATAAATAATAAATAAAGCGTTTTGGATCAACAAAAGAGGAAGAAGAATTAGAGAGAAGAACAAAATCAGAAATAGATAAGATTTATGCAGATTATGAGGCTAATAAATTGGCAGTTGTGGATATGTTGATTAAAAGAGTAATTGAAGTGAAATTAGAAGTTCCAAGAGTTGTTAAAGGATAATTTGAATAACCATAATAAAATTTCTGAGATAAGATGATGAATTCATATAATTATAAATAATGAGTGGTAAAGATTTCTCATAATTTCTCTAAAACAAAGAAAATTAATCAATCTAGGACACTGTTAAAAAAAGCATTGATCCAAATCTTTTCATCAATGAATAAACCCTTAAATAAATAGAGGCAGAAACTAACAAGCATTTTTGGATTAATTACTTTACTTAATCAATAGTTACAACATTGGTTGCACCATTGACTACAATTTATACATCTTTACAACTCTCAGTCATACCTCATTAAAATAAATATGGAGATTTACCAGAAGAATCAGGTACAAAAACATCGACATAATTGGTTAAAACAACAAGAGATATCTAACCTCATGAAAAAAGAAAATTTGAGTTACTAATAAAGAGTGGTGCAGTTGGAAGTAATAAACCATTTAGAGCTCCCATCTATACTACTTATAGAGAAGCAGTTCAAGGATTAAAAAATTAAGGTTGGTAGGCTTTCTTTAAAGGAAATTTGATTGGCATTATTCATTTATTGACTAATAGTCATTTGAAGATTAAATTATTATCTGATTTAGATTTTAAATTAGGAGTTATGTGGCATGAAGGAAATTAATTATTACGTTAAGCTACTATTCTAGCATTGGCAACTATTTCTGATGTTCTCAGTAATCCATTTATGCTATTTTAATCAAGATTTATATTGTAAAATAGATTGCCTAATTTTTATTTGTATAAGAATTTATTGAGTGCATTTAAAAAGCATGTTAGACATAAAAAAGAGTACTTTTAAGGATCTGCCACTTATTTGTATAAAAATTGTTTAATATTTTTTGTTTAAGTGCCTATATAATTCTCTAAAAAATTAGAATAATTTTAGATGCTCTATTTATACCTTTCTTATAATTTTATATCTTATCCTTTTCTTACTATTTTGAGAAGATTGCATTGTTAGGTAATAAAATATATATAATAATAACTTTAGTCTACATTGCCTGGTATGATTCCAATAAGGTATTCTGGTCCTATTCATGCTTTGAGATTAATTACCTAAGAAGAAGGAATTAAAGGTTTATATAGAGGGTTTGGTTTATATTTGATTGGAAGTGGTTTATTACAATATGCAATGTATGGAACTTAAATAGATCAGGGAGATTTTTGAAATAATTTGTTTATAAATTTATGGCATAATCATTTGCAATCTTATAAAATTCATTCAAACATTTTGGAGAAGGACATTACAAAGAATCTATGGAGTAATCTACAATTTAAGTCTAGGGAATTATAGAAATTTAAGTAACTAAAAGAATAGTCTGATCAAAATTAATCAATGGTTTAAATTAATGAAAATATCATACTTTGTGAATACAATATAACTAGAGATGCCAATACTTGTATTTCTAAATTAGATGAAATCATTGATGAAATAAAAAAACCCTAAACATAAAAAAGTAATTATTTAAGCAAGTTTATCATTTTAGAAAAGAAATAAGATGATGATAGTATTCTACAATATAATAAAGCAATCATGTTATTCTTGAGTGGTAAGATTAGGCAAGCTCACAATCTCTTGAAATTATTGAAGGATAGCTATAATCTTGACATTTACTTAAATATTAAAGTAAATCTACTATTGGTGGAAACCTCATTTCAATTACAAGAATATGTTTATGCAAGCGAATTATATAAAAAATTATCTTCTGAAGAGATTTTAAAATCATTATAATAAAAAAATCCTAAAACAAATCAGAATGAAGATTAACAATAATAGCAAACTTAATAAATCTACACTTCACTTTTAATAGGTTCAGATTTGCCTTATCCAGATTCACATCCAAACACATTTAGTAAAGAAGAATTTCTGTTTCTACTTAACGTTATTAAATTTCGCTTTTACATGCTGTCTAATTCTAAAGATTGGAAAAAATAACTAGCAAATCTAGAATCATCATTTAAAAACTATTTATTTCAATTAGATCAACCAAATGGATTGTCTTAAAATTCAATTCCTACATTTTCTTAAGAAATACAACCCTATTTAAAATTACATGCTTAAATGATTTTCAAGTTTTTGAAAGCCTAAAAACATTTGAACTTAAATGATAATATCTAAAAATGTATTAAAATGATAAATCCATAATCTGATATATAAAATCAATAAAACTTAGAATTCAGTCAATCCAAATAGTATCTTTATTTGGCTTAAATTTATAATAATTTTGGATGTGTTCATGCTAAATTAGGAAAATATGCACTTGCTGCTGTTTATTTTCATAAAGCTATTTCTTAAACTAAATTAGTTTAATAATAATTAAACCTTTATGAAGGAATCGTTATGACTAATGTAAAATAAAGATTATATGCAATGTATTAAAATTTAGCAGATGCTTTATTTATGGATTAATAATATCAAAAAGCACTTAATATATACAATTAATTACAAGATTTATGTAGTTAGAGTGCAAAGTTTTGGTATAATAGAGGAGTATGTTTCATTTAAATATATCATGAATCAATGCCTGAAAAAAATGAATTATATGAAATATCAGAAGATCATTCTCAATTAAGTGCTCAAGATGAAGCCAAAAAGATCATTCTTCATAGTAGAGAAATATATAGTGATGCCGATGAGGAAATGTAGGACTAATTTTACAAAATAGATTAAAAGAATGAGGAAAACAAATTTGTTTAATCAAAAGCAAATAAAGAGTTACTGAATAATGCATTAAAGTAAGTTAAATAAAACCTATTAGAGATCTTTCCGTAATGCAATAATATTATCAAAAAAAGAAAAAAGAGAGGAAATAATACTTTTAGATTAAGATTAATTATAAATTGTTGGTTCTTAAATATTTGAGTCATCAATCGTATTTTTAACCTACACTTTGTTATGTAGAGGAGATTATAATTTAGCCTTATTTTAGGGCAAAGAAGCATTAGAATACACTCTATCAGATAACAACAAATACATAATTATATAATATGTTTTAGAAGCATTTATATAAATATAAAAAGTTAAAGATGCTGTTAATTTCATAAATAATAATAGTATGCAAGCATTTTTAAATAAATTTATCAATAGCAATTTATAATTTCAATGTCGAAATTTAATTGGTATATAAACAACATGCTTTGCAAAATATGGACCTAAAGCAATTTATCATTTTAATATGGCATCACTTAATCTTCATAACAATAATATAACTTAGGCTTGGAATTCAATTTAAACTATGATGAATTGTTGTGAAATCAATATTAATTCAAATAATGCAACCATTCCAATACCTATTTTAAATTTATTAATATGGTATTACTTGAAAATAGGTAAATTTCTAATCCATATATAGATAATGTGTAATTTGCTATCCATTTAATTAAGAGAAGAAGATTATTAACAGGATAGATGGGAAAAAATAAAATATCTCTGTTAAATATTACAAAATGATATAAATAGTAAATAATAAAATTATTCTTTATTTAATCCATAATTATTATTTATTTTAAAAATTGTTTTATATAAAAAGTGAAAGATTGAATTAATCTGGTATTTTTAGATCTTCGAAATGAGCAAAATCTCTCTAATAATAATAAAAGAAAATAATAAAATTCATATGGATTCAAAATATTTAAAATTTAATTTTTTATTATTTTTCCAAATAAAAGCACACTAAAGATAAAATAAATTAATCAAAATTATCGGAATCAAAACTTAAAAAGAAGTTAATATAAATTTAATTATATTTGGAAAAGTGAAATAGCTAAAAATTTATTTTAATTTGAACTTAGATTATGTTAAATCAAGTCTTTTAATTTTTCTATTTAATACCTTTAATAATTTAAGTTTTATTTTATTTTTACATATATAATGTTAAATGTAAATTACATAAAAAATTAAATTTCATAAAGAGAAAATGAAATAAAATAAGTTGTAAACAAATATATCTTAATTATTTACATATCATAAACTGATTGATTAAATACTATCTGCTAATTCCATAAAGGATACACACATTGTTGGAAATTTATCTTAAAAATCTTCATCTTATTATAATGTTCTAATGATTTCAGCCGCAATTGTTAATTATGTTTTTAGTGACTTATTGAACTTTTTGTTCTAAAATAATAAAGATTCATCATCTTGTTATGGCGGTCTGATTAATCCTTTTATTCTTAATTCTCTCCTTATGGTGTTTTAAATTATTATTTGGCAATTATTTTTTTATGCAAATAGTTATTTCAATAGATCTCTTGTTATTTGTTATAATTGATCTAAACTCCCTACCAAGGATAATAGTAAGGATAGCTATTTGAATTGTTTCAGTTCATTTTGAGGTTGAAAACAGGTAGGATTAGTAAGTATTATTTAATGAGAATCACCAAGAACAGCTTTTGATGATTGAGTTTAATGGCTTTTATTAGCCTAGCGTTTATTACTGCAAGTCTGCCCCATCAAATTTAATTTTATCTATATTTTGATTAGGTTCTAAATATATAATAAAATAATCAATTATATTTGGAAAGTTTTGATTTTTTCTTTAAAATAATATCATCACTCCTTAATTACTGTATCATTAATTTATCAACATCTTTATCTATCTTATACTATTCATAAAGTTTTTCCATCTCATCGAATATAGCTTTGCCATTTGTAAACAATTATTGAGCTTCTTATTCTAATTTCATGTATTCTAAATAAATTAATAAATAAAATCACTTTTCTCATAGATGTTTTAATAAACTTACATCTAAGAAGTAAACAAATAAATATTTTTAGCTTAATTTGTCATCATATTATATTGATTTTAGTGATGCATCATTTTGAATTGTTCATATTCCAAAAATGATCCTTCAACCCATTTTTTATCGAAATCCAATTTTTTCCAGTAATCCTTTAGTTATTTCTATTTTGAAGGTCTTGTTATGAAGAAATATTCACTAAATAGTTAAGATTGAAGTTGTAATTTCTCACTTAGAGCTATTTAATTTTTTAGAATATTCTAAGTTGATTCCTAATCACTTATGTTTAATGTAATCTTTACATCCTTTAATTCAGTTAATAATGATAGACAATAAATTTTCCAGGCTACAATTAAATTGTCATCTTCATATTTATAAGTTTATAATTCAAATCGTATTTTATTTCTAATATATTTAATCTATTTAATTTATTCGTTATGTTCTTCTAAAATGAACGAGATTTCACTCCATTTTCTATCAACTTTAGAACAACCTGTCCATCTTAATTTAAAATTAAATTTCTTGACTTAATCATCCTCATCATTATGTTATATTTTAGGTTTAATTTTTGAACGTTCTAATTTAATATTATAATAATAATCTTCTTCTTCTTAAATTCTCTTTTTTCCAGGATGATACAATAAAACTAAACTATTCATTTTTGCTCTCATTCTATAAGAATCATCACCAACAGGAATAACATCAAGATCTCTAAATAATTTTTTACCCCATTAATCTGCTTCATTTTCATATTAATTATTCTTCTCAATAATAATTTCCAATTCTTACTCTAATTCTCTTAATTTCTCATAAAATTAATCAGCATTATGCAGTCCTTTGTGTATTTTACTCATATTATACTCAATATTTGCAATAGCTTCAATTTTCTCATTAGGAGAAAGATTGTTTAAATAAATAGAAGTTTGTTCCTTCATAGTTTTTAATTTATCATAAATATCTTTTGCTTTAAGACGTTCTTGTGGGAATTATTATTTAGCATGATAAACATATTCAAAGTATTTTTTAAGAATGATAGCAAACCAATGAAATCTGAGTTCTTTACAAGCACCTAGATTATAAATAAAAGTGGGATTTTTATCAATTGATTCTTAGGGAATTTTGAAACTAAAATTTACATTCATTCCTTTTGAATTTCCCTTATTACAAAGTGATACTCCCCAAGTCCATAATTTATAAGCTTCATAAAGTTTTGGATCATTGAGTAAATGAGCTTTTGTGATGTTGATGAGATTAATTTTATTCGAAATCACTTTATTTTGTAATTATTCAAGATCTCTTAGACATTGAGATTGTAATAAAAAAAGCTAATAGAGAATTGGTATTTTGAATTACTTAGTCAAAAGCAATAATATTGATTTGTCTCATATTATTGTAGATATTTTTATTGATAGATTATTGAACATCTTTGGTACTAATGCATCCCATAAATTAATATTAATAATAATATGTCTACAGTTTAATGTGTTGACCCAAGATATTTTACAAAGTATCATGCAAATGGAACAGGTATAAGATAGAATAATGATATAAAGGTAGAGACTACTATGTTCAATATTCAAATGGCGGCCTATTAAAAGATAGTCAAACTCATTTTGATGGAGTATATGAAAGAGCAGGATTAGGAAAGGAGAAGCACAACTGAGTTTGCCTTGTATTACACCTAAATTTTAACATTATCCTAATGATGGTTCTGGAAGAGATTTTTACATTACGTAGAAATTGATTATAAAATGACAGATGTAATGAAGGCGGACAATAATAAAATTAAAAGAAGTTTAATTTTCTATTAAATTTACGTTCTTATAATAAAATAGCTGAAGAACCGTTATAAAAGGATTTTCTTCGTAGAACTTTTTATACTACTAAGAGACAAATATTAAAATCAAGATAATTGCAAAGGTATCATAATTATGAATAGATTAGTTCATAAAGACAATTGACTTTGAAATTAAGCAGTCCAAAAAGCATAAAATGAGTGAAATAATTTAAAATAATAATTAATACAATATATATAAACATAATCGTTATGAGTAAGGATATCAACCCCATATAATTCACAAAACATCAATATTCCCCATAGATTTAGAAATAGAGTTTGTAATCCCTCAAAATAGTGGTTCCAATTTGCATTATTTTTACATTGTGTAGCATAGTGATTGCATTCATGTGGTACAGTTTTAATGGATTGAGTGAATATTTACTATTGGGACTTAATAATGTAATTTCTTACGTTAATTCAAGGTAGCCATATTGATAGTATGTATCTTTTCCTTATATTGGAGTCTTACATTTCAAATTGTAAGAGATGTGATCAATTAATAAGAGGGGTATCCATTATCAACTATCCCATATTATCATTCTCTTTTTACATAAATACTTTGTGCAATCTAAGTTGCTTTGGCATTAAGTTTAATCTAATATAACTCATATAATTAATTTCTTTTAATACTTCCTCTGACAATTATAGAAATATTTTTATTACTTTATATTGCTAATGTAAGTAGATAATTCAACATCAGAGAATATGGAGTTTAAAGATTAATTGTTTATGCTTCCTCTGCTATTAATCTTATAATTTTGGCATTTGCTGCATATTATCTTAAAAAAGTATCTATTTTATTTATTTAAGGTCATTTCTTAAATTAACTATTAAATGTATTAAGTTTCTAGAACTAACATAGAAATTTCTTTAATCAAAATTATTCTATTGGCCTTTTTTATATTGACTATCATTGTTGCTACATTTAATCTCAGAAAAATCAAAGCATATTTTGTCACTCTCAGTTATATTATCATTAGTCTTTGTATCTTAGCAGCTTGTGCTAATGGAATGTTAGTCAGAAGAATTCAATCTTTAAATTTTGAACTTTCTACTCCCAATGGATGTAGATTTGCTATGTAAACAATATCTGAAATCAGTTTAAAACATGAATTATAATGCTCATAAAAATATTTCCATTTAGATTAATCTCCATATCTACCTTGTGAATAAGATTAATAAACTTATGAATGGGAATCTAATACTAATAATAAATTAGGATGCATTAATTTAAAATGTTGCAAAACAGTCTAAAATTATCTATTTTCTCCTATTAATAGTCTTTGTATTTCTATTAATTTGATCATTATGATTGGATTAGTCTAGGCATTTAATGGAGCAATGTTATCAGAGAGCATTTTTAAAAAATATAAAATAAACATTGTTGATGATGGAGTAATTTTTATTCTTTTACTAATTCTTGCCATCTTTGCTGTTTGTACATACAATTTTACACCTGATTTAACTATAAAAGTTCAACATTCTCTTGTTAAGTAAGATTAATATTAATATAAAATTAGGGAAGAATCTGTATTAAATTAAATTACTATCTTACCTACACCTCTTTATAAAAATTTTGATAAATAAGAAAGACTTGTTGGATTTCAAAATTTATAAAGTTGTCAATCAATTACTTCTGTTATGATTTAAAAAATAAATTTTTAAACTGATAATAATTATTAGGGGTATCAATATATCATTAATTAGAATTATTTTAGCAATATAAGGCACAAATGGACAATTCACTATTCTAAATGAAGAAAATTATATGAATTTGTCTGTTGTAACTGATAATGAAATTACAAAATAATTTTTTTAAGGCTAAACTATACCATTTGATAGAATATTAATAAAAGGAAATATTGAAGAAGCAGAAAAGTTTATCAAGGAAAATTTATATTTTTGTTCAGATTATCCTTTGAATGCAGATTTTGAAATTTTAAAAGAGTTTTATAAAATACCAAAAAAAAGAATTTTAGTAGGTATCCCAAAAGAAACTTAAAAATTTGCTGATGAAGCATTTAAATTTTATGATGTTAAAATCAATATTGAAGATGCAACTAATTTTTAACCTATTTCTAATAGTGTAAAATTAATAATATATACAAGGAAATCGAAATTTATGAAGGAAAGTACCTAACTTAATCATGCTAAATAATAAAACAATTACAGAGACATTTATTTGTATTAAAAACTGATGAGAATGGTAGTGTTACGCTAAATAAACTGAGTCAAGGTAATTCTTATACAATAATGATATAAAAACCAGGTAATTACTTTACAATATTTGAGATTATAAAAGAACATGTTCAGTATTAGATTTATAAAGAAGAATACCAAAAACCAATTATATATTTAGATTGACAAGTGGTATTCCAAAGCATTCTGTAAGAGTAATCTTAGAATGGTCATCACGGTCTTTAAATCTTGATTTGTACGGAATCTTTAAAGTGAATGAACATATGTGTATGACAGGACCATTATCAAAAAGTTGTGGAGGAATGGAACATACATCCATTACTAAAGAAGATTAACACATAGAAATATTAGATCTAAAATAATTAGAACCTTAAATATATACCTTATTTGTTAAAAGATTCTTAACTAAATAGGAAACTTTAGATTTGTTGCCTAAATAAAGAATAAATTAGGATTGGATTGATTCTGATCCACATATAACTGTATATTTAAGTGAATTAAAATATCCTTTAATAGAATTTAGATTACCTTAAAGTATTAAATCATATCTTATTTAGTAACAAATTAATAAATGGAGAAAGTAGATATGACATGGATGGTATTTTAGATTGATGGTACACAATCAGATGCTCCAAATTCTATACAAAAAATGACTTCTGATATTTCAAACGATGAAATAAAATCAAATACTGCATCAAAGAAACCATATTGGCCATCCATCTGAGATATAATATTACAATATTCTATATGTATAATTTAGATAGTTTTTTAAATTAGTTTAATTATTCAATCTAAAATCGTCATTCACAAACAAAATAACAAAAACCATCAATTGAGTAAAGCCAATCATAAAAATTTAAAGCTGGAATATTAGTTTTTAATGGCAATCCATTGAATAAAAAACTCGTTCCTTACAATTTTGTGCTTAATGCTTGTCCTATTGTTTATTTTTGATCATTCAATTCAATAATTGTTTAAAAGTAACCTCCTTTTTTGAAGTAAATTCTTATTGGAAGTTAATATCTACCTGTTTTAGGACTTTCAAATAATTTTCCATAATATTTTTAGAGATCTTCTATGTTTTCAAATGACTATATTTAATTTAATACTATATTTTCATCACTTATTTTCATAATAACTGAATTTTTTAATGGATTTCCATATCCTTCATGATTATAACGCCCAAATGCAGCCAATTTTTAATTAAATTTTATTTAATTCCTTATTTCATCTTCTAAATTAATAAAGTTTGATTCTTTCTGATATATTAATATTAATTCTAAAGGTGTAAAAGTATCCTCACTTTAATATTAATCAACTAATACTCCAAAAGGTATTTAATATGGCAACAAGACATTTTTGAATTGTAAAGAAATTTAATTAATCTTATTAACTTAGCTGCAGTAGGAATCAAAATGCTAAATTAAAATATTTTTTTTGTACATTATATATCTATTGAAAGTAAAAAAGTAGAAAATGTTATCTATAAATCATAATGTACATAGAAGGTATATTGCTATGTAATAAACTAATTTTGACAGCTACTTTCATATTCCAAATTTCTAATTAGTATTGTTAAGCATTCATTTTTATAAAAAATTATTATATAAATATTAAAGAAAATAAAAAAATTATTTTTATTTTTAATTAATTATGCAACCTTCAGTTTTAAACACATCGAATTCTTCATTTAGATTAATCAAAAGTAAAGTAATTAAAAGAACAATATGTCATGGAGCATGTGTAGAAGAATAGGATAGTAAATTGTCACTTAACAAATCTAAAAAATATAATGGGATTGAGAGTACATATAGCACCAAGAATCTATCCACTTATTTAAATGAAGATAATAATAAATACAGATAACCAAAATTATAGATAAAAGTGTAATAGGATGCAGCTAAAAGGTTTTCTTTTTTCCATATGAGATAAAAAAGTAGTGATAAATTTCAAATTTAATAAACTCCAATAGTAACAAAAGAAGTCGTTGCTGAATTAAAATCTACATTAAATAGAGTACGTTCTTCTAAATCGATCGTTTGAAATATCAATTTTTTATTTTTGGTAATGAATGAGAGATTTATACAGATTTATCATAACTCATTCAATATTTTTTTTTAAAAAGAGTGAAATAGCTGAATAAATATTTTAATTAATAAGTTCACATACAACAATTCAAATACCAGCAAGCTCTTGTCCTGGACCATCATCTTTGTCTATTTCTGCTTATCTAGTTAATGAGGTTTTATCTTCTTCTAATTTAAAAATTCGATCTCTGAATTTTTTGAAGCATATTATACCAATCACCAAAAGGCCGAATATCATAAACATTATTAGAAGAGCAATCGCAAATAAAATTAAATTATTTTTAGATAAAATTTTAGTATCTTAAATGTCAATTTCAAAAACTTATTAAATTCTTGTTGCTATGAAAGGAGATGAGGAATTCAAAAAGTATTATGCTACTAAATAAAATTACTAAAATTGTTCTTTTGATTCACATTCAATATGAGCAGATAATTAGTTTATTTGGAGCAATCTTAGTTCTCTTTTAGACAATCCTATAATTGAATCATTCCATTATTTAAGTGATAACATTTAAGGAAATTCAAAAAAATTGTTACTTGAAAATTTAATAAATTCTGAGTAGATTGAATGCTAAATTACTTTATGTGCATCATATCCTATTAAAACAGCATATTTTTCATAAACTTTAACATCATAAAATTTCATCTCATCAATGTAATAATGGTTTATGAAATAAGAGTTATCTGTGAAATTTAAAAAGATTTCTATTGCATAATCTTATCTTTTTTATGATTCAGCAATAACAAAAAAGGTGTTTTTGAAATGGCTAAAATCACTTCCCCTTTAGATTGAAACTCTAAATTTGATATTAAAATCATAATCGCAAACTAATAAACCATAATAATAATCAAGAATGTAAAGATCTATTAAATATTAAATAAATTTTTACTCAAATCATCGCCACTTATATCCATAGCATTCAATTTTTTATCATTAATTTTATCTATATTTTAATTAAGTCTCAATTGACCATCTTAGTAATTATATACATCAACTCCCTCTTTACCACAAGCTACATAGATTCTGTTATTTTATAGAAAAGCATCATAAACTATTTTTCTTATTTAAAATGGTTCTGGATTCATAAAAAAAGTATTCTCTCCAATTGATCTAACAAATTATTAATATTTATTTATACATCCAATCAGGTATGCTGATACCTCCATTTTCTGATATAATATAGACTCTTTTATTAATACTATTCCATAAGAATATTGGATGAGATGTTTCAGTGTTAGGAATCTTCAATTTTTATTGAGTTAATGTTTTAGTGAATTACTATTAAGCAATATTAACTTCTTGTAAGGTAAAGTCATTTCTAATTATTAAAGCTCTATTTTATAAAACAATCAAATCCGTATAAAAAACTTATTTATTGCTTGGTAATCCCATTCTCAAATATTATACAATTTAAAAGGATTTTTGAATAGGAGTACATCCTGATGTTCCTTATAATTTATGCTCCTCCTATACTAATGTATCATAATCCTATTCTGTAAATTAATATTTATGAAAATCAGAATCACTTCTTTTCCATAATACAATTTAAAAGCATGATGGATCATCATATAAAATTTTAATTTAATCAACAATAGCTAGGAAAGATGTAGATTAACTTTTCTCTACGTTTAATTTGACTTCTGGTGTGTTTGCAATTACAGAATTAAGTAATAATAAAATAATCATATTTATTATCCTGAGGATATATGGAAATAAAAAAGAATGTAAAGAGTGAAAGTCATCTTAATTTTAGAATATAAAGAAAAAAAGAGTAAGGAATTTCTAGATTTGAACATATTAGATAATAAAAAAGAAGATATATTAAATAATATTTTTTTGGAATCATACAAAAACAGCTTGATATATGAATTAAGCATAATATAAATTAAAATACTTGAACGGTCAATAAAAAACGAAATAATTTATAATTTATATCGTTATACCTAAAGTGATTTGAACATACCGAACTGCCAAATCGCTCAAAAAAATCAGAGACAAAATATGAGAACCTTTATGAAAGAGGTATATTTAAAATATTATGTAGATTTTTAAGATTTTTATGTGAGGAATATTCTCCATTTAAGATTAATCATTTAAAAAAATGACAAAGTATCCATAAAACTATATTTAATGTATTAAGAATTTAATTATCTATTAGGCAAAGAAAATAAAAAATTATAAGCATTGTATGTTTCTCATTTTGATAAAAATCGAAAAGTACAATTTTCATTAGAAATATTTTTTGACTTATTTTTATTATTTTTATAATGAAAACAATCTACTTATTAATTATTAAGCATAAAATTATAATCGAAACATGATATGACTTATAGTTTAGAAGAATATGATTTTGAAAACAATTGTTAAAACTATTCGTTCAAAGTAGAGTATACCTATTCAATAAATATATTCATTTTCCAAATTACATAGTTTTTAATTACATAACTAATAAAAACACGATTCATTGATTAAAAGATTTTTTGCAATCTTATTGTTGGCTAGTTATAAATTAAATTGTGAAATTACTTTGAATTTTTAATGTTATACAGTAAAATCTGTGAAAATAAAATAGCTTTGTTAATACTTTAAATATTCTCTAATTTATAACTTATCTACTAATCGTAATTTATTTATTTAATAAATCTAGTAAATCTATTTGTTTTATTTTAAAATTAGTGAACGACATATTTATAAATTTTTTTTAAATAGTGGGAATTTCTTATCTTTCTTTGATATTGCGGAAGAGGAATGTATATTATATGTAGTGTAGAAATGAATAATAAAGATAACTTTAATAAACAGAAAAAGAAATTAAGTACCAATTTTAGCTTAGAAATTAAGGGATATAGAAAAAATTAAAAGTTAAATTAGATAAAATTCAATGGGTGTAAATAAAAACAATTAAAATTTAATGAGGTTATTTTAATATCATTAAATACACATAAAGATATTTAATTGAAAAAATTGAAAAAGGTATCAAATTTTCATTTAGTAAAATTACAATATGAACTCTTCTTATTTTTTCACATTTTATGGATTCCCTCCAACTTTTAATTGATAAAATCTTTTATTATATGGCCTATATAAATAAGTAAAATTTTCAAGAATATATTCCATTAGTTATTTGCAATTTAAAAAATATCTAAGAAGTGTAGTAAATAATTGATTAATTTATTTATGTTAACATTATCAATAATAGTGATCCTATTAATATTAGTTGGATTGAGATTCTATATTGGTTCGAAATACAACAAGAAATACAATATGCTTGTATTATTTGGATCTGGTGGTCATACATATGAAATGTTGATGACTTTGAAAAATTATGATTTCCAAAGAAAATGTTAGAATTTATATTTTATGCATTCTTTTGCGGATACACAAGAACCATTAAGAGTAGCAAAATTTATTGAAGATAATAAAGTATTAAGAACTTATAAAATAAAAAGATAGCTTTACCAAAATTAGAATGGATTACAATTCACAGAAGTAGAAAGGTGAAATAATCATATTTATCATCAATAATTACAACAATCAAGGCAACTGTTCATACATTTTTAATTTTATTGAAATTTAGAGATTTAGATATCTTTATAACTAATGGACCTGGTACTTGTATTCCAGTTGTAATTGTGTTGATTGCTTAATATGTATTTATTAGTTATATTTTAAGTTGTTATTTATTAGAAAAAGATGCAAGATTTTATTTATAGAAAGTTGGTGCAGAGTAGAAAATTTATCTTTGAGTGGAAAACTTTTATATTGGGTTAGTGATAAATTTGTAGTGAATTGGGAGACTTTGAGTAATAAATACAAAAGAGCTACTTTTGTTGGTAATTTAATTTGAGTATAATATTATAATTAAATTCCTGGATTGTGTATGATATCTATTTGTTTAATAAAATAAAAAAATAACTGATGTTCAAGAACTCATTTCAAAGTGGATTTCTTTCAATTTTATATTCTATAGGATCAAAGCCATTATAGATTTGGGATAAACAAAGTATTTAATAGTACAAATTATAAAAGTTAAGAATGGATATATTAAAAGAATAACAGATTAAGACATTTAATCATCAGTTCTTGAAATTATGGGTACAAATGTGAGTACTAATTTCATTACTGCTCCTGCTGATCCAAAGGAGACTTTGGGAATTAAATTACCATTCTTAGTCATGATTATAAAGAATGTAAAATAATCATCTTTTATTTTTTAGCTTAAAAAATATTTTACTTTTGAAGTATAAGTCTTGGATGATAAAAATGTAAGAAGAAGATTTCGAGCATCGAATTATTAAGTATTTCTTTAAACTATTGAATAGTCTACAACAAGAGTAAAACCATTCATATGCACTATGCCTATGAGATTGGATGAAGGATGGAATTAAATTCAATTTAATTTATCTGATTTCACTAGAAGAGCATATGGTACTAATTACATAGAAACTTTACGGTATTTATTAATGCGAAATTTATAGAGTTCAAATACATGCCAATTGCAGAATTAGAAGAATCTATTTCAGTGATCGTTTATATAGTGAAGAAGAATTGCCTCCTGAATTTAAATTATTCTTACCCATTTAAAAACAAGGATGATCAATAATTTAAATATTTTTATTCATTCATCTAAATAAATAAACTTTATATTTTCAAATAACATTTTATTTATTCCATTCTATTTCTATTTA